CCTGAAAAGCCTGGGTTCAACTACAAAAGAAGGAGGGAACCAGATGATGATGATGATAGTGAAAATGTTTTTCTTAAGAAGAAGAAAGCATCTGAACTGGAGTTGATAAAAGGCCAACCTCAGCTTTCTGAGGAAACCCGAGCCAAGATAGCTCAAATGGTTGAGGAAGAAGAACCAGAGGTTGAAATCCTTTTTTTTTTTTTCATTATTATTATATGTATTGTTATTTATTAAACACCTTGTGGTTGGTGTCAACTCTATTTTGTAGCCATTAATCAGAACTCACATAAAGGGAAGTAACTTGTATCTGACTTTAATCTTGAATTTCTTGAACAATAAGATGCATGTCTAGTGACACAATCTCACATAATACAACTTTTGGTTTGCCCGAAAATCAGGTTCAACTATTTAATACTAGAAATTTACAGGTCAATTTCTGTATCACAGACATCATAATTCATTTCATTTTTTTATACTTGCTTTGAACCACCTTCTGCCTATCAATAACCAGAAACTTTTAAGATCCATACCTTTCTCATTTAGGATGTGTGAAAAGTTGAGTTTCTTAATAGACAAACTTATGTGAGTTCAATACAAACTGGAATCAATTTTCATACATTTTATTTTGTTCATATCTTTTCTTTTCCTACAAGTTAATAACTATAATACACACACCTTTCCCATACCAAGTTGGTGCAATTGCAAATGTCATTTTACTACTACCTAAGTACTGACCACATCTCAAAAATTTATGCAAGTACTAACAATTCTGTAATGAAAATTGTACCATTATCTCATATAAGGTAACCAAAAAGGTCCTTTTTTTTAAAATTTTTTTTTATTTTATTTACATTGGGTGAAAAGAAATGATCACTAATATACAAATTGAATAGTACTACCACCTTGGGTCAGAGGGAACCTGGGAGCAACAGCAATTAAGAGGTGGTTCCACACTACTCAAAACCTTCAGTCTACCAGTCAGAGGCCTTGCTGCTGGATGCAGTTTATTGTCATACCCAGGACTCGGAGTAATATTTAAATACCTGGAAAATTTATTTGTGTCTTTCTCTCTATTGCACATAAAGGTGTAAGGTTAAAGTGATTCTCTGATACCTGGTTTGCCAAATGAACTGAACAATTTTTGTTTGCTTTCACCATGTATATGTGGATTCATCAGATTTAAAATGGCCCTGTGCCATATAGAATCAAAATGGAATGATTCTTAAATGCCTACTATAATATTTGGATACTTTTGTTTGGGTGTATGTTTTATGAACTGATGGATAAGATCCTTTTGTATGGATATATAAGTTTTTTTTTGTTTTATTTTTCCAGGTAGAAAGTTTAGATGATACCTCATTAAAGAGACTGCTGCTTCAGTTTGAAAAACGAGCATACAAGAACCAAGAAATGAGAGTGAAGTTTCCTGATATGCCTGAAAAGTAAACTTTTTCTTTTTTTGTTTTTTTGGGGGGGGCATTTTTATCTAGTGATATTTTTTAACAAGGTTTATATTGTAAATGCAACATATTAAAATTTTTAAAGCCTCTAGTCATCTTTTGGGAATTGTTAGTGACATCAACAATTTGCCTTTTGTTTTGATGTCACTTGTCCTTGAATTGAATAAATAACACAAACACGTGTGGAGTTTTAAAAATGTCAGGATAGTATTTATTTATATGCCTAATTCATTCAAAATGTGACACAAGGTCAAGTTTGCACTGGGAGGCTATGCATGCATGGGCCAAAAGACAAAAAGTGCTCAAGCCTCCTTGATAATTCCTCTTTTGTGGACACTTCAGATGTCAAATAATTTCTTCAGTCATCCTCATAAAGAAAATTCTATTGTATCATTAAATATTTGAGTTTAACTTTTAACAAAATATTGCAGTAACAATCCTGGATATGAATGCAGGTCATTATTTAAAGAAGTAAGAGAGTACAAATTAAAATATTTGATATTGACAAGGTTTTTTTTTTCCATTTCAGAGAAACAGATATTAAACACTTGTATCTTCCTTCTTTTTTTTTTCTCCCCTGCACTGAAACCAAATAGCATCTCTGATATATCTTTTCTATCTTTCCTTGCAATCAGAATGGAAAAGTCCATTATTTATGAAAGAGTAACATATGTGCTAATTAAGGAACAAGTAGAATTATAATTCTTATAATTTGCTGATGGTTATTAGCAAATTAAATTTTCCATATCCTTTTAAAAAGAAAACAACTGCTATTTAGAAATTAAAATTTAGTTTCATTAACATTTGTCTATTTTTATGAAAAGTCTTCTGTAATATTTTCAATTTGTGTCATCAGAGACAACTCCATTGATTACAAGAAATTAAGATTGATTATTCCATAAGTTTTTTTTTTTTTTTTGCTAATGTGTTCTTCAACCTTCCTCAGATTAACTACTGACTTACTACTTACTGCTAAAATTTTTGTTGCCAAAATTAAGAATACCCTATATGATCAATTGTACATCTGCTAAAGGCCAAGGAACACATCAGATGAAAAGTAATACTAAAACTAATTCAATAAAATATGATAATAACTTCTCAGAATTTCTTACAATTTTGATAAGCAAGATCGATCTGTAACGGGATGCTTTAATACACACAGATATTGACTGACATTGGCAAAAATATATCATTACATATTTTTTTTTTCTTTAATTGTATATTTTTAAGTTTGTTTTCTCTTGGTTTCTTGAAGATTTATGGAATCAGAAATGGAGCTGAATGATATTCTACATGAAATGCATGTCGTTGCCACTGTTCCTGAGTTGTACCATGTGTTGGTGGAACTGAACACAGTGCAGTCATTATTGCAACTACTTACTCATGACAATACAGATATCCTTTTTACAATGCTATAGAAGTTGGTTTTGAGCCCAACAATGGTTGAAATGTCATAAAAAAACAACCAAGATAACTAAACTTTTCATAATAATTTAAGAAGGAAAGTATTCAATGTTTAAATAATACCCTAATTGAGTGTTCAAAATGCCCAGTAAAAAAGAGTTTTACAAAATTTCAAGGTGATAAATGGTGTATATATTTTTTTAATTCATCGAGAATTATTACCCACTTAAAAGGAGTCAACTGTAGTCAGGATCATCGAGTCAGTGCAAATGATCCTTTCATTAGCTGCATAGTATGTGCTTCGCCAGGGCTACATCCAGTTTTGAATTCAGAGTTTTCCTTCTAGGCTGGTTGACACCCAAGGCTATAGAACCTAGTCGACCCTACTATTTAACCATAGCTGGTGGGAGAGCCACTTAAGAGATACATTAGTTGATGTGATTTATAATATTTATTATGAAGGTTTAATTAACTTTCAGGTAATATCCATAATTGCTATTTAAGAATTTTTTTTTTCAAAATAGAAAGTTTTTTTTTTTTTTTTTTGTTTTTTTTGTTACAGTTGTTACCCTTCTTTTAATTATTAATAATTTTCAAAGAATATATTTTGGATAAACAAGAACAGTATTTTTCAAGGTCTTTCATTATTTGCGAGTTATATTCTCTGAATGTATTAGAATCAAACATTATTGTTTTGCTAATTTTGTAACAACACAGTCCTTTTCAAAAGTTCATCAAATATCTGAATTAAATATTTTTTAAATTAAAATAATTGCTTATGATGTGCAAATATTTTCCTTAATCTGTGCACATATCTCCATAGCAGTTGTTGATTTGATCCAAGAACTAACAGATGTTGATACTTTAAATGAAAGTGAGGAGCAAGCCACTTCACTTGTTGATGCACTGGTAAGTCCACCATTTTCTCTGCATTCAAACTCGTTTCAAATTGTTGCTTGTATTCACTTGTTCTTTGGGTTTTATTTGTTGTTTTTTTGTCACTTTTGCTTTAAAACTGACCATTTTTTATGAATTAATAAATTTAATGAAAAAATATGCATTCTTCTCTATAAAGATGAAACACTTGCCAATATTAAGAAATTCATGTTAAATCTTCCTCATTCTATTTCTTGTCTATACTTGAGATGATAGTCTTTAAAGCATTAAAAGAATTGGATTTTTGTTTTGGGTATTGAAACTCTGAGGAAACAAATTCTTTTCATGAATTGAAAAATCAATTTGTGATAAAAGAGTGTGTACATAAAAATAGTCATGAAACTCTACTATAATTTTGTGTTAGGATTAGAAACGAATATTTATTTAGACAATATTTCTTAGTCATTTTATCAAAAGTCACTAGCAAATAATTTCATGTATACTGTCTCATCTGCTTTCAATCAATTCCTGTTAACTTGTTGCTGAATGGTTGTGTTAAACAAAAACACTTCATAGCAGGCTACCATCTGCTGCTACTTTCTTTTCTCACATATGTACTTACACATATAAGACTAAGAGAGGACTACACATTGGCTACATACATGTGTCAATTAACTTTTCATACTTTCTTAAGTGTTGAGCAGCAAAGAACTTATGTAACTTTAATCATTACTTATGTAGTTTATCTAAAATAAATTCCTTTTGATTGAGTAAATTTTATTTTCATTTCTGCACAAAGAAATATTTATATGTGAACTGATTTTCATGCTAAATAAAACACTTTTATAACAAAACACATTAACAAATAACTTTCACAACAGTAGAAACCAAAAAGAAATTGTTCCCTTTTGATCCAGTGACAGAGAAAGGCAATAACAACTATCATTTTTACTAAAGGTGTCTTTGTTTTAACAACTTGTAAAAATAAAACTGATACTTTTTATGTATGGTTTCTTGTCAATATTTTAGCTTGATGGACAGATTGTTGCGCTGTTGGTTCAAAACTTGGAAAGACTCGATGAAACAGTGAAAGAAGAAGCTGATGGTGTTCATAACACTTTGGGTAAGAAACTTTAGCATCTGTTAGATTTTGTTTATTTATTGTATTGTATATTGGAATAATATTTGGTTTATAATCTCAGCATTAATGCCAATCAAATCTCAAGATGTAAAATAGTCCATTGATAAAAATTTGAGTAATTGATATATATATATATATATATATATATATATTAATTTTTATTTTCTTATTGTTCAAAATATATATATATATTAATTTTTTATTTTCTTATTGTTCAAAAATATATATATATATATATATATATATTAATTTTTTTATTTTCTTATTGTTCAATATATATATATATGAGCAATTTAAAAAACAAAACTCTTTCATGCCATTTTCATATTTTAGACAAATATAAAATAAAGTGTTAAAAAAGAATAATATGTGAGTCAGATGAAAAGTTCATAGGCTGACCAAGATACTCTCATGGTATATAAACAAACAAGGTTTATTTTTTAACATAGTCCCCTTGCAGTGCTTAGACCCATTGGTGAAGAAGTATTCATCCCGTTGGTCAAAAAAGTCATCAACAATAGATATGATGGCATCATCACTGCGATACTGGTTCCCAGTCAAGTGTTTTTCATATTAGGAAACAGGTGATAAGTGGGGGCCAAATCAGGAGAATAGGGAGGGTGAACAACCAGTTCAAAGCCAAAGTCACACGCAGCAGCCATTGAAACCAAAGACTTGTTTGCTAGAGCATTACTTTGATGAAAAAAGACCCTTTTGTAACTGCCTCAGCAAGTTGGTATAGTACTCTCTATTGATGGTGTGACCCTTTGAAGACAGTCAATAAACATAATGCCTTTTGCATCCCAAAAAACTGAGGTCATCACCTTCCCTGCAGGTGAGGAAGAGTGTTTCCACTCCCTAGAATGACTCTTTGTCTCTGGCTTAAAGTGATGAACCCAACACTCATCCTAGTTTAGGAAACATGCAAAGAAACCAGCTGGATTTGCCTCAATCAAAGTCGGATTTTCCCAGAATGTAATCAACCTGGTGTGCTTTTGATTGGGTGTCAGAAGGCGTGACGCCCAACAAGCAGCAACCTTCATCATGCCAAGTTGATTGTGCAGAATATTCTCTCTTCTCTCATGGGATATGTAAATAGCATTGGCTATTTGATTTATAGTCAATCACCTGTCATCCATCACCATCTGGTGAACACAATCAATGTTTTCCTCGGTGGTGGCAGTTGCAGGACGTCCAGACTTTTGGTCATTTTCAAGAATTTTCCTTTCCTTCCTAAATTCAGTTTCTCACTTTTGCACTGTTGATAAAGCTGGAGCACCTTCCCCTAATGTAGCAACCCTGTCAGCATAAATGTCCTTGGGGTCTAAACCCTTTTTTCTACAGGTACAATCACAATGCCAGATTTTGTCCATTTTTCAAGAGAAGTCACTGCTAGTTACTTTTGGAGTCTTTGAACAGTAAGATGTCAGTTTACCTGAAAGGAAACAATGCAGTTATTAATAAAAAGAATTGAAATTAATGCATGCAAGATTTTACGACTCTAGCATCATTTTTTTCATAGCCAGCCTCTATGAACTTTTCAGACCACTCTAATCATGTATCTGCATTTATTATGCAAATCAATAGTAAAATTATTATTAATCTACCAATGTTAATAAAGCTTTCAGGATATACTAATATTGATACAATCAATATATTTTATGAGTTTCAGCATTTTTATATATATAAATACTTATTTAAAATATTAATAATAAATTTTTGTGGGGTGTCAGGTATTATTATGCAAATAATCTAAGTGCCACATGTATATTTTTTTTTTTTTATAAATAAATCCTAAAGATATAATCCAAAGAAGATATTTGATTAACACTGTATCCAGTATATCTGAATAAATTATTAGTTTACATGTTAATCTGAGCTCCTTTACATCCTATAGCTTTCATGAGTTTTTCAGTCATTATTTTTGTTAACTTTTCTACTGTTTCAGTTTTAACATTACTTGCAGCAATTTCTACTGGTTTTTAGAGATCTACCATAGTGTACATCTACACCACAAATTTTCTGGCACCATGGTTCTGGAACCATGCCTATTTTATTTTTTTTTTTATTTTATTTAATGCCAACAGAGGTCACAATAAAAATTCAAGAAGCACCTCTGATTCACTAATTATGCATATCTCATGTTTAAAGCATTAATAATGTCAGAAAATTAAACATTTGTCATATCAAATTCTTGAATATCTATCTCAAAATGTTTGCTATACTTTGCCACATCTAATGTGCCAAAAGTCATGAAATAGCATTATGTCACAGTAATGGTAGGTGGTACCAACATACTTTGACATCTATGAACATTGGTTAGGCTACTCATTGCCACATGAATTATCAATTACTTTTTTTATTAGCTATTTTTGTTTTGATTATGTTAATATATACCAAGCAGTTGGGACATTGAGAAGTGGAAAACCTGTTAACACTAGCCACAGCATCTCTCCTAGGTTGGACACTGGAGGACTGGTAAAGTGTGGTGCATTCTAGTCAGTTATGGCTTTAGCTGTTTGGGGCAAATGATAGAGTTTGAGTGTGACACAGACCTCATGAATCTATGAACTCCAATTATCGACACAACACATGAGTTGGGTTCACCTATACATGTCATTTACTGGGGACCATTATGTTGTGCTTTTCCATAACCATTTTCACCCATTCATGGACTCCATGTATCTCAACAACAATAGGTTATTCCAGTAGGATACAGGATACTGCACAATGTCACCAGGTTCAATTTACTCAGAATTGGTTTGAGGAGATTTTCAATGAAGGGTATGGTCACCACATTTGGCCAATATGAGCTCACTTAAGTGTATATGAAATCTGACGAAGAGGTCTATTTGTATGCAAGATCCAGCACCTAATAATGAAATGGCATAAGTCAACATCTCTCCAGAGGTCTTCTGACCACTTTGGGAAATTAATGCCACAGTATACCAGGCTACCCAATCCTATGACTTTCTGTATGCCAGTGTATGGTTCATGAGAAATGGTTGGTACTTGGCCTTCATACAGTGCAGTATTCTTTGTTTTGGAGGTTGAATAAAGGATGTACAGTTTGGTGGCAAGTACACTGCATGCACAGTATTTTTGTGGAGCAGTTGGTCTCTCTGATGGCTTCCAGGATAAGAAGAGTTTTACAGCTTTCTAGTCAGCCTATAGGTTTAATCCATTCATAATTTTGTTCAGATTAAAGAAAGTGCTAGGAGCATCAGTTGTTGGAAAATTGTCTGCTTTTATTCATAGTATGAGGTTATCTTGTAAGCCAACTCTGAACTGAATCAGTCATTGAATCTCGTTTCTAATGCAATGTTAATGCATAAGAATAACTTCTGTTCATTTCAGGAATCATTGAAAATATCACAGAATTTCGCCCAGAGATTTGTCCAGATGCTTCCCAGCAAGGGTTAATGCAGTGGCTTCTGAAAAGACTCAAAGTAAATTTCTATCTTTGTTACTATTTTGCATGTCACTTGCTCTTAAAACAAAATAACAACACATTAATGTTGGGATTAATGTAAAAATTATAATTTTGAAATATTAATAGACTGGTATTGTTATCAGTTTGCTTTTATGCAAACTATAAAGATGATTTAAAGAGTCCTTGTTTGATCTTATAATTCCCATCAAAAGTGGTCCTATTGGTAAGGAGCTGTCATAGTAAGGCAGACTCCTAATGACAGGGATACAGGTTCAGGTTTTATTGTAGACTTTTCCTTTATTTCTGATTATCATAAAATGAAGATCTATGAATTTTAACCAAAAGCAACCAAAATTAACAAAAGAAATATTAGTAAAAAAAAATTTAGAACTTAAATCACAGTGTGACTTTGTTTATTGGTCATACAGCCTGTTCTCCCACTCTTAACAATGAAATATTCCATAGTTGTGGTAACGTAAGGTAGCATGCTACACCAATAAGTGAATGTGCCCTTTAGTACCATAACAATGGAATATATCATTAGTAAGTTAGGGAGGTCAGCTGAAATTTTAATTGTTTATTTTGTGTTAACTTTCCTTGGATATTTTTATTTTTAAAAATTGAAAAATCAGAATTCTTTCTCACATGAATAAATAGTCAATTGTGTAGAGATAAAAAAACCTGATAGCCAATTTGTTCACATTTGTATGAAAAATACAGGCAATATAAACAATTATTTTATATTATTCTTTGCAAAAAAAGAAAAAATATTATAGATGCAAATAAAACTGATTCTTGATGTAGGGAAATTTTCTGTATCAGAAAAGCATAAATATTAGAAATTTATCTGAAATGAAAACATGCTTTTTTGAAATTGTTTAAGCAACTCTTCTTTTTATTCTTGAAGGCAAAGATACCATTTGATGCTAACAAACTCTATGCCAGTGAAATTCTTTCAATTCTTTTACAAAACCATGATGGTAAGTGACATTTTTTTGTTTGGATTTTTGCATAAATTATGTTCTATAATAATAATAATATCTACTGAACCTATTTCAGTTTTCAGTCTTACCTTCTAATTCTGATTATTTTAATGATTTTAAAATGATATTTCCTCTTATACTGCCTATATCACTCTGGAAAATCTTTCCATGTGTTATTTAGCCTATTGTATTGATTTGTTCATTGACTTTCCTCAAAAAATAAAATTATGACATAATATTTAAAATAATGAAAGCTCTTTATCTTAGAACTTTGGTAAACAACAAACAATAATCTAAATCAAGTAGGGAATAATGAAAATCCCTTATCTCAAAACTTAAGAAAACAACTAAAACTGGAAATTAAAAAACTCACTTGGTATTTTATATATGTTAGACTAAAATATAGTACAATGCTGATATAAATAATGATACAGTCCGACCTCTTTGATCCAGCACCCTTTGGACCAGGCCACTGCCAGATGATAGAAATCACACAGCTCATTTCATATGTGTATTGCAGTTATCAAAGGTAGAACAAAGCTTAAAACATGAAATAAAACAATAATTAATAAAGTTTTTATTGTTTCATGCAATACAAAGGCTAAAAAATAGCATAAAATAAAAAATAATATATACTTACTATCACGAATGGGTAAATACGCAGCTATATATAAGAAATGAGAAGATCTTATCACCAAAACTGTTGGCTGCTGCGAAAAGTTATAAACAATGTGGATGCTGCCCTTGTAGGAACTCAATGAACTAAATAATAGAGACTGGATAAAAAAAAAATAAAGCTCTGAACTATGGGAGTTGCCAGGCCCCAGAGTATTGTAATAAAAAAAGAGTCTGTAATAAAAAAAAAATTGTGCTCAAATGATTTAAAATTTGTGTGTTTATTGCACTGATGGATTGGATTACTTTCCATTAGTCAAGCTGTAAATTTGTGAGACATCTTTAAAAACATTAAATGTTGTTAGTCAACACAAGAAAAAAAAATAGCTAATCCATGTAATTTCTAAACAAAAATGAGAATACAAATCTGAAAAAAATGTGGAATAATGTTAATCATGTCATAAGGTCAACTAAAGAAGGCAACAATCTGGTCTTTCTGTTCAATTTCTGCATCTTGATCCTCAATAATTTATTTACCGATAAAATCTAGTTATAATGAAAGATATATGAACCGATTACTATATTTTATAGTATAAGAAAACCCTGCTGGGCTTAGGACCATGTCATATTGGAACACTGGTTACCATACAATCACTGAAGTTAAGTAACATCAAGCCTGGTCAGTACTTAAATGAGTGACTGGTTGGGAATACCAAGTGTTGTAAGCTTGAATGTGTGGATGTAAGGGATAATGGTTTGGAATTGTTAATCGGAGAGCTAAGTTCCAATTCCAGTTGGGTTTGTTATATTCACTTAAAGACAAATACTCTTGGGAAAGGTATGAATCTGCCTCTTCTCCTTCCCCCAGCTATGGGTTAATTAGTAAGACTTGTATCACTAAACCAATTTCTCAAAAAAAAAAAAATTCTTACAATCTAAAAATATTTTCTGACTTTAAATAATCTGCTTGATAAGTCATAGAAATCAAAAGACCACTCCTACCCCAAATATTATCAGAATTTCATAAATCTATAATAAATTCATGAAACTGAACTTGTTTTGAACCAAGCCAAATATGAAACATGGATGATGTTCCAATAACATTTGATATACCATCCAACAATTTTTTTTTCTTCATATTTCTTGCTAAAGTGATTGGGGAAGTAGCCTTATTTGCCATCCAGTACGTAAATGGACAAAATATTAATAGTTAATTTTGATAAATAGATTTTATTGCCAGACCCATGTTTTTTTTTTCTCTCTCTTAGAACATTTGTAGTGACTTTAAAGCATTTATATTTTTCAGCATTTATATTCAGGTGATTTTTAAAAAGAATTGTCTTAAACTGTTTCTCACTTTTGTTTACAAAAGTCATTATGGGAGCCTCCTAAACTGCCATCAAAAAATATGTAAAAAAAAAAAAAGTTGATTCTTAGATTTGCAGCTATCTGGATTTGGTCATGTATTTTTTTTAACTTTTCCTCACCACTCTCTTGTTAGTTGTAATAAAACGGTATTAGTTAAAACTATCATTCAAATATTTTGCTCCTGTCTAATAAATAATCCTCACAATATAAAATTTAACCATATGTAATTCTTGACTTATATTTTGACTTATATGTAATTCTTGACTTATATTTTGACTTATATTTTCTTGTTGTATTTTAAGTTGTTTTGGATTTAAACTGATAGTGTTTATTGACTAAATCTACTTGGCCCAACAGAATTCATAAAAGCAAAATTGAAAATTCCTATCGAAATAAGTTATTATAACTTTACCATTTTTATTATTTTTTTCCAATGACTATCTTGCTTGCATTTTTCCTTATTTCATAATTCCTTTCCTATTTGTAAATTAAAAAGAAATCAACTTTTTTATATATAAAATTTGTAAATAATAATGTAACAAATTTTGATACTAAAAACGAGATTTATTTTTATAAACTTTATATCAGTCTGTTTTATGAATTTTTGATTGCATTTTTTTCTCTTTATTTGTAAATTGTAGAAAATCGACAATTGGTTGGTGAACTGGAGGGAATTGATGTCCTCTTACAACAACTTGCTGTAAGAAAATTTCATTTTGTCTCATCTTTAGATTTTTATAAATCTTAGTTGCTACAAAATACTAAAGTTACTATTTTTTATTTGGTACTATATTTTGCTAAGACACAGTTGCACTTTGGTTTTGTTTCTTATAATTGTCATTAGCCAAAAAGTATGATTGGTTTAATTAAATTTGTGATGCTTTTTTTTTTAAATTCATATTTAAATGACAATGGTTGATCTTATTGATTGGAAATTAAGAGTTTTTTTTTTTTTTTTTTTTTTTCATAGAATGCAGGTCTCATATTCTCTAGTTTACAAATCTGTCCACAATATAAAGCCAATAATAAATTTTAACATCATACTTTTTCTGATAACAGTATTGATATGATACTCAACTGTGCATGTGTGAGAGAGAGAAAGAGTTTTATTAAATCTGACAGTTGGTGTAACAATTTGTTGTTGGTAATACATATTCAGGTAAGATAATAGATTTAAGAGACTGTTTTTAGTCAAATACTCTTTTATTCACTCTTTTCTGTTTGCCCTTATGGCATGTCAGTGTGGAGATCTTTTCATCATATCTAGTTTTTGTGTAAATGAACATGTGCAGTATGAGCTGAAATTCACTGTTTGCTAATTCAATTCTAACCCACAGTGGTTGATATGCCATAAAACCCAAACAAACAAAATGATTCAATACTCCATAGCATTAATAATTATGCCTAATAAACAACCCACCATAAACTTTCACCACAGGAGACAGTATTTTGTTGCATATATAAAATATTTAATATGCATACAAAATAAAAATACATATAATATTTGATAGATGATTTTCTGACATACTTTAACTGTTACACATTGATGTCACTTTGGAATGATTCAAAGACTGTTTTTACTTAAATACTCTTATTCACTCTTTTCTGTTTGCCCTTGTGCAAAAGGAACATGAAGGTATGAGCTAAAATTCACTTGGTTAGCTAATTCAACTTTCCATAGCTTTAATCAATTATGCCTAATCATACCTTCATATACACATCAACAAATAAAAAGATATTCATTATTAACTCATCCAAGAAGAATGCCAGAGAAAACAAACCTATTATTTCATATATTTAACACACTTGGCATATGTCAAATTTTGAATGATTGGACTTAGAATTTTTCAGCACCCTCTCAAACATGAATACATACATACAGAATCAACTTTTGGTCCTATAACAAATTATCAGATCATCACGAAATAAAATGTTTGTTTTTTCTTTCTTTAAAGCTCAAAAGTCAACTTCTAACTTTGCCACCTTCTTTTTCACCATAAAATATATGGGTCCTACATATGGAAAAACACGGGTTGACTTGTTTGTGTATATGTATATATTGGCCAAACATGTAGTACACACTTTTGTAGATTAACTTGTTGATACTTAGTGCAATTTATGTACTATTACAACCAACCACAATACAACTGTCGACATAAGGCACATATTAGTGCATAATACCAAAATAGTACCAATACAAGGAAGAACTCAAAAATTAGAAGTTATTATTATACAAAATAAACAACCCACATTAAATAAACTTTCACTACAGGAGACAGTATCTTGAAATGTCTATAAAATATTTAATATGCATACAGAATAATACTACATATGATATTTAATACATGCTTTTCTGGCACACTTTAACTGTTACACATTGATATCACTTTGGGATGATTCAGAATTTCAGCCTTGAAAATGCCAGGATGTAGCCAATGAAATCTTGTCTACCACACTGACAACACATGGTTCTTGATATTAACTGAGACAATATAAAGTACTTGAACAAAACAAACTTGAACTTCAGAGTGTATGTACAGTTTCAATTCTGATATATAAAATCTTATTTGAAAATTGTCAAAAATGCAATCAAAATTAAACAGACAAACCTTGTCAGTTGAATTTGATAAAATATTTGTGTGTTTGTGAACACACATACACATGCAATCCATATAGATATTTTATTCTAGCTAGAGATATGGAGGTTGTGCAAAAATGTGTGCTATAGCCCCCCCTCCTAATCTCCAAAAAATGAATGAAATTTTATCTTTGTTTTTTTTTTTATGTAAATTTATTCTGGTGTAGAAGAGGTTTTAAGACTATTTACTGCAATTCTTATCTGGATTAAATCTGCATAACTGGAAATGTTTTATTCTTAAAACTTTGGTTCTCTCCTATTGGACTCTACTGTAGATCTCTTGGAAGGGTGTGAACAGCAAATCAGAAGTTTCTCTTTTCTTTTTAGTCCTACAAAAGACATGATCCAGCTAACCGTGATGAAATAGAACTGATGGAGAATCTTTTCAATTGCCTTTGTTCTGCACTGATGATTCCCAGTAATCGTGCAAGGTTTTTAAAAGGTGAAGGCTTACAATTGATGAATCTTATGCTCAGGTGAGCTACATATCCTTCTTCATTTAATTTTAATGTAATCAATTAAATCTTTTTAACAATTACAATAAAAAGAAAAAAGAGCAACATTTGACTCTGATTTATTTACATTATGTTCTGAATCTTTAAACTGAATAAATTCTTCCTATCATTACTGTTGTTCCTCTTAGTACTCATAAAGCAATAAAAACTGAATTGCATCAACCTTTCTATTTTAAGATGTTTTTTTAAAGACAGTTAAAGCTAACCTCATACAATAAAGCCAATAAAACTCGAGGTATTATTGAGAGTGAAGGAATAAGAGAAAAAGAAAAACATTAAGAAAAGGGAACAATAAAAGTACAAGAATTAAGAAGACAAAAGATAATGATTGACATTGCATTGAAATTTTTGAACATCAAAGTTGACTGGAAAGCCAAAGACCAGAAGATAATTGCACAAGTGAAGTGCCAGAGAAAAAAACTGTTAGCATAAAAGTTATGGTTATGTCTAGCCATTAAATTGTAAAATGATCTGACTTGGTTGCCAATTTAGTACAACACTTAAATTCATAAAGTCAAGGTATCAAAGAGGAAAGTTCATCAGTACAATTACCATGAAATTATTTACAGAAAAGGCACAGGGAAGCTGTTATGGCAGTGGGAAAGTGATTGAAGCTGAGATTCCAGGTCAGGACTGATAACATTACAGATTCTTCAGATTTCATGAAGATAAAATACATAAATGTAGCAGCAATATTCAATACTTAGACAAATGGTAGACTTATAAATGTGTAAGATAGATTCGTGTGAAAAAATTTGTCTAGCAAGACATAGTGACCCAACTTCTTAACTGCAGACTTAGCAATTGAGTCAATATAATCTTTCCCCTTCATATCAGCTGAAAATATTAGCCTGAGAATGCAGAATGAGTCTCTCTCCTGAAGGTTAGCATTAGCCATGCTGATGGAAGGCAAATACTGTTCTCTCAGACAATTAAAAGAGAGCAATTTTGTTTTGCATGTGTTAAAATTAACAAGCGATTTCTTGCCCTAGTTAACAACAGATTGTGGGCCATTTTTGAGATCAACTATCAATCTGACCTTATTGAATCAATCAGCCTTACTATTAAGATGGAAGTAAATAGTTGGTTCTGCATAGATACCAAGTTGAGAGCTGATGACATCGGGAAGGTCATTGGTGGAAATTATGAAAAATTTTGTTCCAATGTAACATTATGACTGATTACCTTGATTATGGCAACCAGATGTAATACTCTTAATCATGTTCTGGTTGCTGATCTGGTGACTCTTACCCACATTTTGAAGAACTGAAAAAATCCCAAGCTTAGTGTTGAGCCTGTCATAAACCTAAAATTGACAAATACCTTAGCTTAAAGTCTTGAAGGAATGATAAAAAACCGGGTTACTTTTAACAATATAAAAATAGGATGTTGTGTACACAGGTGTTTGAAGTTAGCGTCTTTCTTTCTCAAATTTGACTTAATATTGAATTGCTCATTTGCAAATATAATGATAGGACAATGGTAGTCTGTGTCAGCTGGTTTGTTTTTATCATGAGAGAAACATTGATTTATTACTACAATCTGACCATACTGTATCTGTCATGTCTCTTCGTTGGTGCTCTTAACAGGCTTCTTTCAGTTTAGCTGGTTTGCATTGTTTATCATCATCATCAGTCCCTTGACTGCTTCATTCATTCATTGGAGGCAGAAGAAACAGACAATTTCCCTGATCTGTTGGCGGTGAGTTTCAGGCATGTTCATCCAATCTTTGATGTTGCCTGACCAAATTTTGTGTTGCCATTCCTGCTTGCATCTGCCTTCAACAGTACCTGGTATTGATGGCCTTGCAGATGCGGTGTGACATATGGCCAAACCATAACATCTTCCAATGATGGTGAGAAGAGATTCCTGTCAGCCCATGAGAATTTTGACCTTGCTTTGTACATAGTCATTGGTTTTATGTTCGCAGTAAGAGATGTGGAGGAGCTTTCTCAAGCATTTGTTCTGAATCCTTTTTCTTGCTTCAGCCAGGAGTGCCCAAGTGTCACACCCTTGGCAGAGGATGGATATGACTAATGATTTCTAGACCTTGAACTTGATATTAAAACTGATGTTGCTCTTCCATAACCTTTCCAGTCTGGTCATCACTGCTGTGACGATCCCTGTGCGGATTTCTGTGTTGCAAGTGCCATCTTTTAACAGAGATGCTCCCAAGTATTTGAAGCTGGAAACTTCCTCCAGTGGTTCACCATCCATGGTGGCACTGGCACTGGTGTTCGTGGTGCTATTCACCATTACTTTGGATTTCTCTGTGTTTAATTCCATTACATGTGCAGCTCTTTCAACAACTTTGTTGGTTAGGTCTTGCAGTTCACTGTTACTGCCTGCAATAAGGTCAATAAGGCAAAACACAGGTTGCAGACAGGTCAACCACTGATAGAGATAGAAGTGTTGTGGTAATGGAGGGTTTCCTGCATAATTCTTTCCAGAAACAGATTGAAAGATGTTGGAGAGAGTAGGCATCCCTATCTAACACCGATAGTAATCTGGAAGAAATCTTCCACTCAGTTACTCAAGAGAACTGCACTGGTGGCATGGTCATAGAGGGCTTGGATGACTTGTAGGTGCCCTTCTTCTATGTTGAATCCTTAATTCAAAATTTGTTATTTTAACAATGCAGGTCAAGAGTACAGATTCTTTTTTTTTCTTCTTATAGATATATATACTGCAATTAGTAAATTAGTAACCTAAATGTAAAACAAAATAGATTTCATTTCTTCCTATTAAGTTCCAATGAAAATAACACTATAAAAATAGGAATTACTTTTGTTCTATGAAATTGATTTTTCAAAACAAATATGTCTTGTCTGAACATTAATAAGAGAAATTATACTCTTACATTGAATAGTTGTAAACAGTAATTATTATTATAAAAGATATTTCTGCATATTATGAAAGGTAAAGTTCACCTTTGCCCATGATGAACAAAAGAATCTTTACATCAAAACCTCCCACTAAATCCAGTAACTATGCATACCAAATGTAAGGATTTTACATGAAACAGTTTGCCCATGTAAACCAAAATATGAACACTTCACTGTCATATTGAACCTTGTTTTACTGAGAACTTTTTTGTGGCTGAGCAGTTTAAAGCACACCTAGTTCAAAGGGGATTTCCACAGTATTGGGGTGGGGGGACATGTTCAAACACTGTAAGAGAGTACATTTTATTTATTAACATTCAAATACTGATAGACATCAATTAAATTGCTTAAAAAATAGGCATCTCTGATCAAACACATTGCTTCTATAATATACAAACACATCAGAATTTGGATGAATTTCTGTAGCCTTACAAAATGTCACAAATCCCAATTTAACTTTAGTCTTAATTTTTCCTATAGCCTTTCTTAAATCAAATTTAATATTAAAAATGTCCTCATGTGTCCAAGGTGATTTTGTTACAGGCAGACGACATTTTTTTTTTTTTTTTTTTTTTTTTTTTTTTTTTTGCATTTATAACAGATAAATGTAAAAGACTAGCTTATATTTGCATGAAGGATTTTTTTTTTTTGGTGGAAGGAATAATTATCCAAATTTTAGCTTACATTCAATGTACTGGTATTATGGATAGGAGACTGCAGAGTAAAGATGATTTGAGGTGTGCAGTTGTCAAAAATGTTTGTGTGTTATATTATAAAGAGTGGGTAAGTGAATGACAAGATAGAAAACCCTTTTAGTGACATGTTTAGTTCTGACAAGGAGATTCTTATCCAGTATTAGTCTGAAATTATAAAAATGTTTTTATCATATCTTTCATTTATAAAATCAACTTTGTATGGTATCATTATAATATGATCTTTAACCAATTGACTAGAACTGCAGGCAATAATTTGTCTTGCCTCTCAATCTGTAAAGAGACAGTTTTGTTAATGTCTGTTGTCAAGTGAATTAGGTTTATGTTTCACATCTCTTAGGGGATTTTGTATTAATCTCTATAATTGACAAGGATTGATTTTATTGTCTTTCAGAGAGAAGCGTATGTCCCGAAACAGTGCCATAAAAGTGCTCAACCATTCCATGACTGGTGCTGAAGGTGGAGACAATTGTCAGAAGTTTGTAGACATTCTGGGATTGTGTACTATATTTCCATTGTTCATGAAAAGGCCAAAGCAGAGTAAAGCGGGGCCTTCACCTGAGGAACTAGAAGGTAATTAGAGGTATTTAATAAACAATTAAAATGTTATTGGTTTCATTATTTAGGACTTTATATATATATATATATATATATATATATATATATATATATATATATATATAATCAGTTGTTATCCCAAAAATTTGCATGTCAGATCAGTTCTTTTAAATCAAATATGTGGTGCAGTTAAATTTATATTACAACAAATCATTTGTACAAAAAGTAAATTAGTAAAGTTAATGATATAAAATGGCGAATTCACTATTTAGCTCATGCCATATTGACTAATAAACTCCTACAACAAAAATTCTTAAATTGCCATGTTAGTAAAAAATGCTCTCACTTAAATTTTCAAAAATTCAACCTTAGCATTGCAACTGCACACTCAACAAGTTTGTATCTGTTATCAATAACACACTTCAAAAAAAAAATATGTATATGTATACACACACACACACACACACACAAATTCTTTTTGTTTTAAACTAGATTTTGTATTGTGATTTAATAACAAATTAGATTGGGCTATGAATAAAAATATGAAATTTCCCTTATAAAATTTATATCTGAAAAAGTTGATTTAATGACTACTTCTTCAGAAATGATTTCTTTGAAATTGTGCTTATTTGGAATGTATTGTTTTATTTTTTTGTCCTTGACAGAACACATCACTTCCATCATTTCTAGTTTGTTACGAAACTGTCAAGGAACTCAGAGACAAAGACTTTTGAACAAATTCATAGAAAATGACCACGAAAAGGTAATGAAAAAAAATTCATATTCATTCATTTATCTTAGTCTTTAACATTTATGTCTGTAAAAAAATACACACACACACACACACACTTATATATACGTGTATGTATGTATGTATATATATATATATATATATATTATGTATGTATGTATGTATTAATGGAACTAGATAGGCTCACCTATCATCTGGCCTGAGCTTCCATTTCTATTGAACAGGAGTAGAGGTTCATCCCTTGTTTCCTGTTCAGGGTATGGTTTACTAGTTCTCTTCCTTTCTTCTACCAGGGCCACAGTAATTTAACTAACTAGTGACTGTGACTTTCCATTGTGAGGGTACTGAGTTGGCAGCTTGCTGGCTGCTGCTTCCAACTGGTCATTAGGAGCCCAAACTCTTTGGTAGTGCTTAAGAGAGGCTGCTTTCATCAACAGCCGCATAATATTGGGGTATTTTTAGTGGCATGTTGCGCATGGGTAGGTGTCCCTACACGTATTTCCGGTGGGCAACCCTCAAACCACACTATACTCTGTTCCCAGCCATGCCCTGGATGGTTTGTATTACAGTAGTCTTTTCTCTCACTCTCCTCAAATGAATTTCATGGAAAACACAAGAAGAAATACAACTAAACCAGTAAACAAAAAAAATCAACTACCACCCTCAGCCTTTCTCTCACTAATATTCATAGTATCCATTCCGAATTTTGCAGCATAGAATCTTTCCTCTTGGAATGGTCACCAGATATTTTTGTCCTCTGTGAAACTAACTTAACTTCTTCCATTGCTACCAATGAATTCTTGGTTCCAGGCTATTTTCCTTTTTGCTGAAAAGACTCTAGCATGGCTTTGGTGTTTACATCCGGGATAATGTTCGATGGCTAGGAAATTGTCTCTCGAGACTCCAGACTACTCCTTCATGTGCTTCTGTCTTTCGTTACTAAACTTGGTCAGCTATCTCTTTTTCTTTTATTGTCCCCCCCTCTTCCTAGGACTGTAGTATATTAGACATAATAGCTGGCAGTATAGAAAAGGCACTTTCCCTCCACTCATCTGCAAACATCTTTGTCTTTGGTGATTTTAATGCTCACCACAACACGGGGCTTGAACATTCTAAAGGGACTGATGTTGCCAATGTTCAGACATTACCCAATCCTTTACTCAAATCATGGACTTCCCTACTTGTTTTCCTAGCAAAACTGAGGAACATGCTTCTCTACTTGATTTATTTCTTATCTCTTCTTCTTGCTTTTGCTGAGCTTTGCAACACTATCCTCCTGGTAATTCTGACCACTCTGTGGTAGCTATTGATATTTTGTTCCAATCCTCTATTAAACAGGAACCCCCTATCCACAAGACTTCTTTCAGTTACCAGCATGCTGGACTCGCTCTGATTTTCTCTGTGATGCCTCTTGGACTATCTTTAAACTCCCAATTAAAAATTGAACCACTGAGGTTTCGTCTTGGGGTCAAAGCCGGCATGCACACTTTCATCCCTTCTCGGAAATACCAGGTGAAACCTCAATCCTCTCCATGGTTCACAGCTCTCGTTACAACAGGTGCTTATTTGTTGCTGCTTGCAATAAATGTAAGCAAGTCCTGTTTGCCAAGAGAATGAAGCACCTCATAGCCTCTAACAACTTTGGCTCTCATGATTACTGGCAGCTATGTAATAAGGCATTAAATAAGTGTAAGGTCTCTATTTCTCCCCTCTTCAATTAATATGAGGTGTTATCATCCTCTGCTGATAAAGCTGAATGCTTTGTCCATAAATTCTCCTCAAACTCTACTCTTGACTCATCCAGAATATCCCTGCCTAACTTCCCTTCTAGAACTAAGTCTCTGTTGAGTGATATGCATGTAACCCCTTCCATGGTTTCTGCTATCATCTCTAAATTAGATTCCCACAAAACATGTGGGCCTAATGGTGTCCCTGTAATAGTGTGCTCTTGAACTTGATCCTGTTCTCTCTGAGCTGTATAATAAATGCCTCACTGACTCTTGCTTTCCTGCCTGCTAGAAATCATCATCTGTTGTTCCAGTTTTTATGAACTCTGGTGAGCCATCTGACCCTTTCAACTATCTATTAGCCTTCTACCTCTTTTTTGGGGAAACTCCTACAGGCCCTAATCAATTCTGAATTGGTTCAACATCTCTCATTAGCTCAGTCAAGCAATATGGCTTTCGTTTCTTCAGGTCAACTGTTGATGTTCTGACAATATTTGTGGAAAGAGTTTATCATGCTCTAGATAAAACTGGTGAAGCCTGGGCTGTTGCATTGGACATCTCGAAAGACTTTGACAGTGTTTGACATTCAGGTCTTCTCCACAAGCTGAGAAGTTATGGTGTCTCCAGACACTTTTGAACTGATCCAGTCTTTTCCTGTCAAATTGTGAAATGAGAGTTATCTTAAAAGACCACTTGGTCCTACTCTATTTTTAATTTTCATTAATGACCTTCCTGATGACATCAGCTCTCAACTTGGTATGTATGCTGATGAGACAACAATTTACTCCTGCCTTGATAGTAAGGCTTATCAGTCTGGCAAGGTCAAAATGGCAGTTGATGTCCAAAACAACCTCAAGTCCATAGTTAACTGGGGTAAAAGATGGCTTGTTAATTTTAACGCCTCCAAAATTAAATTTCTCTCCATTAATCATCTGATGTGACCCCTTGCTGCCTTCCATCACAATGACTGATACTGTCCTCCAGGAAAGTGATTCGTTGCAAAGACTATATTGAATCCATTGCTAGGTTAGCTGCTAAGAAAGTCAGTTCACTATGCAGGGCAAGACAATTTTTCTCTCCAGAATCTACTTACATTCAACCAATCGTCCATGCTTAGTATATTGCTGTCACATATGGTCTGGTGTATCTGCTATTTACCTTGAGCTTGATAAGATCCAAAGAAGAAGCTGCAATATTATTGGTCCTGATCTGGCAGCTCAGCTTCAGCCACTTTCCCACCAATGTAAAGTTGCTTTTCTGTCTTTTCTATAAATACTTTCATGGTAAGTGTTCAAATGATCTTTTCACTATGGTACCTAGAGTTTCTTAATTTATGCATAGCACTAGACTGGCATCGAGATCTCATCAATTTACACTTGAGTTGGCTAAATGTAGCCATAAATTCTATTCTAACAGTTTCTTTCTTCGCACTTTTCACTTGTGGAACTCCTTTCCGGCTCCATGTTTTTCAGCCAACTCTAATCTGCAAAAATTTAAATGCAATGTCAATTGTTATCTACTGTCCACCTGATTACTATCTTCTCTTTCTGTTCATGATTAACGTTTCTGTTCCTAATTCTTCTACACCCTGTAACCCCTTGTGTCTTAGTGGCATTACTGCCTTGCTTGGGGTGATTCTGATTAAAAAATAAATTTATATATATATATATATATAAAGTAAAAGTTTGTTACTTGCCTAATTGGTGTTACCTTCAGCATCCAGACTCCTGAGTTTTGTAGACAAACACATCTGTCCACTCAGGGTGTATCAGCAATTGGCTGCTTATATTTCTCGATAGGTACCTCTAAAAATGAGCCTAGCATGATGAAAGAGGCCCAAACTTGATAAAAAAATCAAAATGTTTATTATTATTATTATGAGGAAAGACAAAAATATTTTTTTATTATTTTATTAAATTTTTTAATCCTTTCAAGCACATTCTCATTTTTTTTTTTTTTTTTTTTTTTTGCTGTATAGGAAATTTAGCATCTTTTTGTGGTAAAAAACACATTTTTGAAAATTCTTGCAAAAATCAAATAATTTTAATTTTATGAAATATCCAGAAATTAAAATTCCAGGATCTTCGTATTAGTTAAAAGGAGGAATCCTTGGAGAATTTAAATCATCAATTTGTTTTGTCAAATGGAAACACCATTTACTGAAAATCTGCTCTGAATCATAACATAAAAATGCAACAAAACTATGGCATTATTTAATGAGAAAAGCTTTTAACTGTTTTTATAAATAAGAAGACTATTGTCTTAAGAAAAAATATTTTCTGGTGAATAATGATTTTTTTACAAAAATTGTTTCATTTTTGTAAAATTTTAATTAGAAAAATTTATTAAGTTTGAAATCTTTTAAAATTCTGTATTAATTTCAGTGGTTTTGACGATTTTATTATTAATTGAAAACTATATTTACTGATTATAAATAGAAAAGCTTAATACAAATCAAACACCAATATTTTAAAAGTAATTTGGAATTTTTTTTATTAGTGTATAAACATGCCGTTTTTTTGTAAGTACAGGTGACCATACACAACATTATCAGAAAATAAAAGCAAGAACTATAGTAAATTTAAAGCCAAAATTTCTAAAATTGAATAAAACATTAGATTATGGAGAATATTTTCCTAAATTTTTAATATTACTGAGTACTTAAAAATTATATTAAAAATAGTTGCTCATGTCATTTTCTTCAATTATGTTTTACAAATAAAGTCACTCTAGAAAAACAGATCTGTCATCCAGTCAACATGGCTACTGTTTGTTAAAATAAAGTTAGTTTCAAATCAGATTAATTATAATTTAAATCAGCTAATATTCCTCAAACAAAGTTTCAGTAAAGTATATTTTACTTTTGGAAGATTTTTTAATAAAGAGAATTACATTGTGATGAATGTCGACTAAAAAAAAAAAAAAAGCATGCTAATCAACTATTTTAGCAAAAAGAAAAAATTCTTTCCTGCCAATTTAAATTAGTTTAGGAAATATATATTAAATTTAATCTCTATTAGCTTGAAATTAAAAGTAAAATAAAAGCTTCAAAAAAAATTTTTCATTTTAAACCTTAGCTATCACATTATTTTGTGGAGGCCCACACATATATGTGTGTGTGTGTGTATGTGTGTAAATTGATTAAGAAAATTACATGTTAAATTATAACCAAATTTTGTACATTTCTGACTGTAGTTGAATTCCCAAAGTTAAAAATTTTGAAAGATTATTTTTACAAGCTATTTGATATAAGCCTGGAGGAAAATACAACTTTAATGCCCTATGATATTAACGTGATTTATTTTTCTTAAAACTTGAACAAAATGGAAACAAAGACATGCCTGTAAATTAGCTCAGCACTTCAATTCAGATTTAGTAAAGTTTACAAAAAATAAAATTGATTTATTCTGTGAATTACTTTTCTCTAAAATGGAAACTATGATGAATTCAAAGCATTTACTTATGGAAATATTGTTTTAATTTTTGGAAAGAGATTTTAAATCCTAATTGTTATGGTCCAAGTTCCTTGTACCACAGTGAGGGTCCAAGGTTAGAACCAATGAAAGAATAACACGAACACAGGTATGGAATACAAAGATATATTTCAACAGAAATATAATACAAAGAAGTAGAAGTATTAGTAATGACTATCAGATTTGGTTAGAGTGAACTATGTTGTCTCGACAAGTATCACTATTCCAAGGTCCTTACAATATGCTCTCAATTATCTCTCCTCGTCTTACAATCTCCTCATACCTCTTGAGAGGCACAGTATTTATAATGTCAGGAATAGTCCATTATTATTATGGGTAAGTTCCCATGACACTGTTTTCTTAATTACTGTTGTCATTATTTTGTAGAATGTTACCGATTGATTGCTTTCTGGATTTCTAATTGGAAAATTATTTTTACAGGTTGAACGACTGTTGGAATTGCATTTCAAATACCTTGAAAGGGTTCGTCGAGTGGATGACCAAATTGAAAAGGAGAAAATGGTAATTGACCATTAGGTATACCTTATAAAATCTATGGTTTTATGGACATGTGATTCCCATAAAACTTTACCTGGCAAGATCTTTATTGCAATTTTGCTGTATCAGGCAAATTTAATTTCTCTCCCTCAGCCCCCCCCCCAAATCATCCATAACCTATCTTTATGTAAACCAAATCTTGCATTCTACAAGACTAATCTGCATATTTGCACTTAGTCATTGTGAAGGCTTTTTTGAACTATTGATTTGTAAAACATATTGAATTGTAATTCCAGTTCAACATGTTTTATTTTCTTTCATGCACTTTAAGGAGATGACTGACATTTTTCTTGATTGGATTTCCTACAAATGGTGCTAAAGTTGTTGGCTGAAGAAGGGGGTTTAAAAAAAAAAAATAATAAAATAATCTGTTTGGCAAGCAGGTTGGGCTGAGAACTTCTCACAGCTCCCTTATATAATAGAAAATCAAACAGCATTTTTGTTTAACAAAGAAAAATTTAATTTGTTATCTAGAAAACTTGAGATTAAAAGATAAAATATGATCAGCAAAGTATTAAATTCTTGAATATCTGAGACACTTTAAAAATTTTGAAATATATTTGGGATAAACATTTGAGTCTGGTGTATGTCCATTTCAGGTTTACACTATTTTTTGTATAAAGTATTCAAGACATTCATTTGGCCCAAATAATAATTCTTCAGCTAAGAAAAATGTTCTGTCTTGACAATTTTTTTTAAGTAGTTTGAAGGTTTGGAAATTCTTTTATTATTCATATTGTAGAGATTGACTGATGCCAATGATGAAGTCGATGAAGACCTGGAGGATCAGTTTTACCTGAGACGATTGGATGCTGGCTTGTTCACATTGCAATTGTTAGATTGTGTTATGCTTGAAATTTGTGCCAGTGGAGCTGTTTCTGTAAGAATTCTTCATTTGCTATCATTTTTTATTTTATGTGAAGTCATGATTTGAAAACTAACAAATATTCTTAGGATAAATCTTCTATGACAATTTAAAAAAATTTTATTTTTAAGGGATTAGTAGTGATATAAACCGGCAAACCTCAAAATTCTTTTGTTATGAATTCATGTAATGTTCATTTATACTTTAAAATAAACCGAATCAGATTTGTTATAAAATCCTAAGTGAAAAAGAAACAAAAAAAACTTTTATGCAAGTGCCTTTTTTTTTCTTGGGTTATTTTTATTTAAAATAAAATAAATCTCCCATGTTATCAGCTTTATGAAGATTAAAAAATTTTGATAGTTTTTTTTTTTTTTTTTTAAACATTTACTTACAGGTGAAACAAAGAGTAATGCAAATCCTAAACATGAGAGGTGGATCCTTAAAGGCGATTCGTAACATCATGCGAGGTCAGTGCACATTTTATGTTGCTACCAGAGGGTGGTGCACATGAAGTATTTATATTTGATTTTCCTTTTAATAATCTTTTTGATTAGAACAGGAATACTTTAATTTTATATGAAACATCATATTCACAAGACTAAGTAAACATTCACAGTATGTTAAATTTAGTCTTCATTTTTAAATTAGTGTAATTTATTTTATGTGTTAGACTATCCTGTTGTTATACCACTCATCTTCAAATTGGAAGTACAGTTCAAGGCAAGGTTCACTTAATTTTATTTTTGCACTAGTATAGCAAAAACAACAAATAATTGTTTTGTATAAAATTAACTGAACACACAGTCTGTGTTCATTTTAGAAAAAATAATCTTAAAATGAAAATGTCATGCTATTCACTACCAAAATTTTGGCAAATAACTTGAGGGTGTAGTTTGATCCAGTTTTTAGTCTCAGAACCAAATACACAGGAAACATCTCTTCCATCAGCAAATCTGTGACTCCTCAAAATGCCTTAATTTCAATTAATAATAAACATGTTGAGCAGTTTTCATAAAATTTAATTTGAAAAAAATAACTATAACTTCAAAAATTATACATTAATTTATCCATGCTGTTGAAAATGACTGCATTGAAGAAACTGATATTTGATTAAACCCTTGTCTTCAAAGGAGTTTTTATTCTTTCTAAATATTATTGCAGTTGACTTTTTTCCAGTCAGTATTTTGAAGGTAAAAAGATTATCTAAGACTATTTCATTTGATGTTAATTTATGTATCATTGCTTTCTTTTAAAAAGAAAAAAGAAAAAATAGAAGTCAAGTTTCCCATCATTTTCAAACTTGTTTTTATTAAATTTCTATTTACAGAATATGCAGGTAATATTGGTGATGCAAAAGACCCAGAGACCAAAGCAGCAGAACAGAACAGAATTCTACAACTAGTTGACAAATTCTAAGGATTTAATTTTCATAATTCATTTTTACCATCAAATCATTCTAATGTGTACATAAAAACTTGAAATAAATACCTCATTACCAACTGTGCTGGAATTGAAAAGTTTATTTGGAGGTTTTGTAAATAGACAAACAAACAAACAGACTGACTGACTGTGCCCCTGTCAATTTATCCTAAAATTATTTCAGATGTCAACTGATCTGGGAAATTTTGTTCAATTACCATTTAAGTTTTCTTCAAAAGAAAAATTTCTGTTTTTGTGCACTTGCTAGCTAATCCCGAACCACTGCAGCAATCAATCCAATCCACATTTCCACTTTCATGGCAAAAGACAATACTTTTTCATCTCCAAATTATGAAATTGTGATTCAATAATGGATGAAAGAAGTAAACAGCATGTGGCTTTTACCAGTTTCAGCTGAAACTTGATAAAAACAACAATGGTAAAGATATTGTTCTGTAACAACTTGTGGAAGAAAGTTAATAGACCTTCATTATATTTGCTGATTGGAGGTAGTATCAACCTCAGCTTCTCTTGTCAGCTAGGTTGACCAATTCTGTAGAGATTTTTAAAATCACATAAGATACCACTGAACTGTCAGAACTTGCAGTAAAAGTCCCCACAGTTTGTGACCAAAATTTCTTCATCCTAAGTGTATAAAAACAGTAAATTTTTCAGATATTTGGAATTGAAGCTTTTTTTTTTTTTTTTTTAACGTTGTTACATGCAAATTCTTGACTAAAAGAAGTCAAAGAATGATCTCATCAAATTAAATGTAAACACAAAGCAGGGTTCAAATCAAGGTAAGGATATTTTTGAACAGAACACAGGAAGATAGGCATAAGTTGTATTTTTTTTCAATAGTGATCAGGACAAGCTATATCTACATGTAAATTACAGAAGTATATAATTATGTTGGCTTTTTTAAACTCCTTTGTATAAGCAATTTACACTAGTATTTTTATGTAAGAAAATTTAACAGCAGCCAAGTTTCAATGTTTTTTAATAAACTAAAAAGGGAGGGGGCTGTTATATTTAACTGCTTTATTTCTATGGATTTTTGGCAATCTTGGGCCTTCATGCACACCCAATAAAAACAAACACCAGAGTGCCAAAAGGATTGTCCACCCACCATGACACCACTACTTTTTAAAACAAACATTGCTGAGGTTTAATATTATTTTGTAAATTTTCAAAAACTGTATAAATTCACATATTTAGGTTTTATTCAAATTCTAATAATTGCTTTTTAAAACATTGCCAAGAACTGAAGGTAGTTAAAATAATAGCAGTATCAAGAGAAAAGGCATCCTTTTGACACTTTTTGGTTGTTTTATTATTTAAGAAAAAAAAAATCAAATTAATTAATTTTCCCAAATTTGAGCAATAAAATCCCAAGAAAGGAAAAATTTGACATGTAAAAGAAAAAAAAAATTTTTTTTTTTAAAATTTTTTTTTATTATTCGGCAAATTACAAGACTATCAGCTTGGAATTCTGTACTAAAGTGAACTCTAGGATAAGAGCTGCAGTTGTCACCTTTCTCGGTCACACAAATCACAGAAAGGTTGATGGTTAGAAGAGTTTTTGTAATACTTAAGTAAAATTAACATTAACCAACAACTATAGTCTCCTCATCTTTGAATATATAAGGGGGAACTTCCAGATTGAGTGGAGCTGGTCCTTTTCGAATCCGTCCAGCAGCATCATAATGAGATCCATGACAAGGACAGTAGTAACCTCCAAAATCTCCAATATTGGCAACTGGTACACAACCTAAGGAAAAAAAAAAAAAATTTGAAAATAAGCTTTGATTTATAGAATGGAAAATACAATAGAATATAAAATGATCTTTAAAACTTATTTATTTATTTTTTTTTTTTTTTTTTTTAAATATGCTTCAAAAGCAACTGTAACAATGTTTACTCAAATACTGGGGAAAAAAAATGCAATTTACACATCAAATTCTTTAATTCCAGAGCATTTTTATACTCAGAACAAAGTTGATTTTCATTGTCAAGAAACAAATGTCTATTTTGTGACTTTAATAAACTTTTTTTTTTCTCTTCTTCAAGATGCTATAAGCATGCATCAGAGAACTTCAACATGGTGTAATGGTTAATAAGCTTGTCCCACTAGCTCAATTACAACTGAATAGTGAATCTGATCCTTACTAGTAACCCCATACATTTTGCCTTGTGCCACATCTAAGCCATACATAGAAAATCATTTTGGCACTTTAACATGGTATAATGGTTTGCAAGATTATCTCGCTAGATCAATTACGACTGAGAAGTGAGTTTGAAAGTTTGGGGGCACCCAGTGAGGATCAGCCCTGTGCCACATCTTAACTATGCTTAAAAAAAAAACAAAAAACAATATAATCATTGCTAATACAATGCTTACCATATATTGACAGTCTGGTAACAGATGAAAGAAAAAAACTAAATAGACTGGTCCACTCAAAATGAAATGTTTGAGATAATTTTTGAAGATTAGCATGAGACTTTCCTCAAGGTGTGATATTTAATATCAATAATGACTTTCTAAAGAGCAACGTTATTTTTAAATATTTGAAATAGTGCTTACATCACTGATACCTGTGTATGAAAACAGACCTTTCTTTTTTTTTAAATAAAGAAACAGATACACATTTTTTATGTGCTTTGCTGAGACATTAGGTTTATAATACCCAGAAATTCATACACAGATGTCCTCAGGGACACATGTCACTAGTTGGTTAGATCCAGTGACAGGACCCAAAGAGTGAGAGTTCAATACCCGGTTAAGGCAGTGGAGAACTTTCAGAGGGAAATTAGCAGGAGATAACTGACATCCATCAAACATGGAACTAGAACAGTCTACCCCAGTGAGTGAAATAAAGGGTTCAGTTCGAAATTCCAACCACCGGAAGAAGGCCGGAGTGTACAACAGCCGAAACGTTGTGATAAATATGGCAACAAAGCTGAGGACAATAGTCCGAATAATGTAAATAATACCTCATCTCAGAAATATAGACAGGTGCTTTAAAATATTTTAAACAATCAATTTCAGTTGAAACATTTTTTTTTTTTTTACATGTTCTTCATTTAAAAAAAGATAAGTTTTAAAGTCATAAAAATTCAGAAAATTTAAAAAAAAAACAAAAAAAAAAACATATCAGTGATGTAAACACAGTTTAAAAATTGACATTTGTAAATAAGTCTATATAACTTTAAATGTCAGCGATCAATTTTACACCATATCAATATTATGAACAGAACCCCCACTTCTAAAAGGGACTTAAAAAAAAAAAAAAAATTTTTTTTTTCCAATTTTGACAAATGTTGCACCTTGGGAAAGGTCATTAAAATGAATGTTATCTACAAAAACTCCAAATTTTTTTTCCCATTTTTTTTTTTTTTAACAATACACAGGATTTCAATATTTTACTAAGATTGCATCTATTAATTGAAATCAGAAATCACTTAGTCTGGAGAAGGCTATTACAAAAAAAGAAGTCTTTCCTCCTCTCTTAATTGCCACCCCAGTCATCAGCCATTTAATATGTACCAACTGTTTTTAATCATTAAATCATTTCATACACTACAACTTTTATGTATCCCCAACCTTGAATCAGTAGAAGAAAATAGCCCAGCCCATAAAGATTTAGTCTAGTCATTTTTTTTTTTTATTACTAATTGCATTTACAGTATAAACAGTAATATTTAATTTACATAACTTTTAAAAGTATATTTTAATAAATATTTCATGTTATTTATTTTTAATTCAAATTTTAAAAACTGCCATATATAAGCAATGTTTTAGTAAAATTCTTTTTTTAAATTCATGTTTATAGAAAGAATTTATATGCACCTTGTCAAAACTCAGTCCTAAGTTAGAAAACGTATAGCATTCATAAGCATTGTTGTCATGTGCTATTTCACATTATTAATTAGTTGAATGGAACCAAAAAGAAAATTTATGGAATCGTCTAAAGAACTTAAAAAAATCTGTTTAATTAGATTTTCTTAAAACTGTAAAGTTTTCTAAATTAATTTATAACAAGTGTACCTGTGCAGTCAAAATTGATGGCAAGAAGGAAGTAATATGTATTATATTGTAAGTAATTTTCATTTAATCCAAGTACAATTTGTAACTTAAAATAGTTCCTTGTTAACATAAATTGAATGGTGTACAATTTATAAACGCCTAAGGAAAGATAGCTGTACATTATCCTCACAAATGTTATATATTTACAACCAAAATTATCTTTACTGCAAAAGTGCCCAAAGCACAATATTTTTTGTGTAAACTTTGGAAGGTCCGAGTAATTATCCTATGATTTGTATTTGTGAAGATATTTTAAAATTAAAAATATGTAATAATTGCCTCAGAACAATTTTTTTTAGCCATGTAAGCATTTCGAAATTCTCAGAATTAAAAAGTAAAAATGAACAGGAATAATTATTATTCTCATTTGTTTTTACTTTTTAATTCTGCTGATAATTTCGAAACGCTATATGTATTTTAAAATTTTCTATACTCTTGAATTCATTTCCGTATTTTTTGTGTAATTTAACTTTTTATTATTCGTTCATTATTGCAGATTTAAAAAATGAAACTTAATAGTTTTTTTTTTTTTTTTATATATATATATATATATATATATATATATATATATATATATACACTTTATTTTACAAAACAAATTTCAAACAAAATATCTTGAATTGGTCCAGTCTGGGTCGGTGCAAGAGTCTCCACCCCAATCCAAAACTATGATATGGAAAAATAATTTGTCTTACGGAAAATAATTTTTTTTATTCAATCTTTAAAAAATAAACTTCATTGTTTTTTTGTTTTTTTTTTGTTTGTTACTAACATGAAACCAGTAAATAATTTTAAATAGCAAGCCTTAGTTTTTCAAAAATTAACTTTTGAAAAATATTCAACACAAACTTCTTAAAAAAAAATAAATAAATAAAATAAACTTTGAATTCTGGTTCATCTTTATTTTGCACACTTCCCCTCAATTGTTATAAAAAAAAAATAAAAAAAACACAAAAAAAACTGAACATCCGAGGGTACTGCTAGGATTCAAGGAAGAAAAAGCTGCTGTGGCAGGCTTAAAATTTTTAAGTTTTAGAGTTTAGGATACAAGAGCTAGTTTGTAACGCTGATTCATTTTTATTTAAAGTATAGATTGAATACATAAATGTACAAAAAATTATTGACAACCAATAATAATGTAAAAGTTTGTGCTAAACTTTGTAATTTGTGAAAAACTAAGACACTTTATGAAATGTTTAAACATTATGGGCAAGATATATCTTATTCAAAAACAATTACAATCTGTAAAGGAATTCAAAAATAAGGATATACAATACAACTCCTCTAAATTGAACATCCAAGATGTTTGGTATTGAGAGTACTGTTCTGATTTGAGTAAGAAAAGTTTTCATATGTCAATACAAAAGTTTGGATTTAAAGATCAGTCCAAATTCGAGAATACCCATCTTTGAGAAAATCTAGATTATGCTATGTTCAGATTTGGGGAGTTCTACTGTATGTGTTGTATTATATATAGATTATGGGCATGTGGCCAAGTGGTTAGAATGTTCACTTTCTGATCATGAGACCAGGGTTTGAATCTTGCCACGGTTGATTTGTTAGGAAGGGTATCAGTCTGGAGGGGGATGATCCCAGTGTGCGGCCCCTTTGGAAAGGGCCTGAAAATCATACCACAGGTTACCCAAACCTTGTGAGTGAAATTGGGTAGACGGAACAGTTGTGGATCATCGATAGCTGTGCTAGCATGAAGCAATGTCATCATGGCTGAGGGCCTGAGCGTGCTGGCCTTGTTCAAATTGTTGATCACACTAGATACATGCTCTCTCCCAGAAACTGTAACTAAGGTCTGCTCAGTATAGTTGCAGTACAAACCACGGGTTGGCTCTGTGGGTGTTGAGAAAGCATCTGCAATAGGGATTGACTATCTGCCCTAGTAGATGGGTATTGTTGAATACAAGTGGCCAGCTATTATTATATATAAATCAATATAAACATTAGAAAATAGTCAGCTCTAGCTATGTCTAGAAGAGGGAATTTAAGTGGCATAGCTCAATGACAGAAAGAACTTTAGAAAATAAGATGTCCTGCTGAAAATGTTTATACACAATTGTTTAGTGAGGTAAGGGAACTTCTATGATAAATTACTTTTTCTTATTCATGGGGCACACATTTGGCTAGTGATGATAAATTCTTTATATTTTGAAATGATCATTGAAAATGTAGAGTGTATGTATACAAGTTGAAAAGCAGAAAGAAAATCTTACCCAAATGGGTACAGACACCCAATAAAACCAACCACTCAGGTTTCTGGCACCGGTCATTATCATGTTGAGGATCTCTAAGACAGGAGATATCAACAGCTTGCTCAGTTTCAATTTCATCTACAGTGCGATGCCTGACAAACAAGGGTTTGCCTCTCCATTTGAAGGTGACGTTCTTGCCCTCGGGGATGTCTCCAAGTTTTACCTCAATTTTGGCCAAAGCTAACACATCAGCCGAGGCACTCATTGATGACACAAATTCATGGACGATGGATTTGGCTGCATAAACAGCTGTAACTGATCCACCTGCAAAAACAAACAGAAATTTATCACTAGAAATTCATAGCTTGTAAGATGGAAAAAAAATGAAATCAGTTAACCTGAAAATTAATATTCACTTGATTACTTGGGCTCCACACAAAATCTGATAGCCTGGAATTGTTTAAATTATCTTAATATTTAAAGATCTGGAAAATTTGTTTCTCTGGCAGACTGACAATTTTGCTGCCTAACTTGACAAATGTCTTTCAATATTTTAAGAAAATACCATAGTTTTAAATTAAAGGCTAGGCATTTTCCAACTAAAGAACATTTTCATCTTCTTGCTTTCCCATCAATGACAATCTTAAAAATTTAAAAAAGGGCAATATCAAGTCACTTTCTGTTTCCTTGAATCCTGTTCTTTTTATCGTCCCTTTCTCTTCAGTAACATTTTCCCCAGTTTCCTTCACTCTTGGTAAAACCCTTGCATTTTAATGGCCTATTTGCCTTGCTTGGGGTGAAATGATATAAGTTTAAAAAAAAAAAAAAAAAAAATTTTTTTTAAATATATTTTCCATTTTGTTAGTGTTCAAGATAAAATTACAGTTTATACTTGGTGATTTAAGAAAAAACAAGTGAAATACAATAAGGTGTACAAGAGAGAATAATTCAAAATTAAATATCGCTATATTTTTTGCTGTTTTAATCATTTTACCCCAAGCAAGGCAACAAAGCTACCAAGATGCAAGGGATTACCAACTGTGAAAGAATAATGAGACAAAGAAAACCATTATTAAGGAGAACAAATAATAAAAGAACGGCAAAAGATAATGATTGATATTGCATTTAAATTTTTGGAGATCAAAGGTAACAGGAAACCAAGAGGCCAGGAAAGAGTTCCACAAACAAGTAAGAGAGAAGAAGCTTAACATAGAAGTTACAATTACATCTATCAATTTCAACTGTAAAATGATGAGACCTTGCTACTAATCTAGTACTGTACTTAAATTTGTGTACTTACCAAACAAGTAAAGAAAAAGAAATTACTTATTTTGTATAGTTATATTAGTTTGGACAACTATAAAGACTATTTCTTTTAGAGCCTGAACTGATCTCTACTCCACATGTTGAAGAGGATTTTTTCTTTCTAAAAGAATGATGAATAATTAGATTTTATGAATTCATTCAGGTGTACAACATTTACTTTTTACTTATTTCAACAAAATAAATATCTCCTGGGTTCAATCCTTAGGTGACCCTTATTTGTAACCTTGAATCAGACTTAGCCGAGTAAATACTTCTAACTCAGTTAAGAAAATATGTGGAACAGTATCCTACATTTTTAAATTTATGACAAGCTGATGGAAGAGTTGAGAGATATTAATCCTAGCCTGGCACAAGGCCACAATAGTGGGATTGCCAGTAGGAATGGAATATATCACATTAACAAAGATCTTTTAAACTAATTTATTAACCATCACTGTACAGGAGGCTCAAAAACAGGTTGTGTAATACCAACCAACATTTATAAAGTACAATTTTTAATAACTGAAGAAATATTAATGCAAAGGATTTTGAATTCAAATTTATCCTTCTCGATGTGTTGCCATCCAAGGCTGAAGAAATAATAGTAATGCAAAGGTTAATAGTTAAAGAACATTTCATAGGTGATGTTATTTGGGGTGGTTTAGGCTTAAGTAGGCCAACCGTAGTTGGGATCATAGTCAATGTGAACTCCATGATCCTTTCCTTAGCTTCATAGTATGTACTTCACAAGGACTACATACAGTTTTGAATTCAGAGTTATCTTTCTTCTAGACTGGTTAACAACCAAAGATACAAAACTCAGACTATTTAATTTATAGTTGGGGAGAGACCTTGAGATGGATTTATGTATTTCCCAATGATATTTACACATAAGTGAATATAACAAACTCTAATGGATTTTGAACTCAGCTTTCTGATTTCTCATTCTGAGCCACTATCCTTTACACCACCCATACATCTTAGGTTTAACACCATTCAAAAAGACTACTTTTGATTGTACTGTGACAGTTATATCAGCATGCATTTATTTCTTTTTTTTATAATTTTGACAAAATTGGTATATTTTTGTTTATTGATTTTAACATTGAAAATATTATGGTTTGTGATTTTAATAAAGGTAAAAATATAGCAAGATTTGTGCAGTTTATTAAATAGGTACTATGAATGATTCAGTATGTGGAAAGTGGTTTACAAATTTATGTACTGGAGATTTCTCTGTGAATGATGCTAAACAGTTGAATAGAAAAGATGAAATTGATAGCAATAAATCAGGTCATTTGAGAATATTTAACATTGTTCTATGACAATACAGGAGATTGCCAATCTACTCAAAATATCCAAAGCAAATATTGATTATGTGCACCACTTTGATTTTGGCCTCCAAATGTGTTTAGTGAGGAGGAAAAATATGGACTGTATTTCTTTGTACAATTCACAGCTTAAAATGTAAATAACATTCTGCTTTTGAAACAAATCATTACAGGTGATAAAAAGTGGATACTTTACAACATGGAAAATACGAGACAAGCAAAATGAACCTCTTCTAAAGTGGATTCTGTGTATAGAGCAGGATTACTTTGAGAGAACTAAACTACTAACTCAAACAAGTACTGCTCCATCTTAGATTAATCGAAGATAGCAACTGACAAAGTGTCTGGAATTAGTAAAGAGAAAAGGCATAATCTATCAGGATAATGATAGATTTTATATTTCTGGTGACGAGGCAAAACTTGTTAGCTTGGCTGTGTTTTCACACATCCAGCATAGTCAGTAGATGTTGCACCTAACAATTAGCATATGTCATTCTTTACAGGATTATTTTCAAGAAAATTCCCTGAAATTTGCCAAGACGCATCTAGAGCAGTTCTTTGCTGAGAAATATTAAATGTTCTAAGAGGATAGAACTATGAAGTTGTCTGAAAGGTTGGCAGAAGATCATGAAACAAAATGGTAAATGCTGTTCAATAAAGTTAAGACTAAAAATAAAAATATTTCATCTCTGATTTTTACTTACTAAAAACAAATACACCAAATAGTCCTCCTACCCTTGCTAATAATACTACTACTACTACAAACACTTCTACTTATATGTGCCACGTCCCTTCAGAACATGTGTGAACACAACTTTCCACACATTCCTATCCCTTGAAACTCATTAAGTTTTATCTTTTTGCTATTCCTCCCAATCCCTGTTATGCCATCCAGTTACGCAAGCTCATAGGCTACTTACTACTTTCTTCTGCACCTCATGCCTTCAATATACTGTGAATGTAAACTCAGATGTCTAACACTTTCGCCCCAGCCCCTCAACCTCCAATGTCTTACTCTCTGGGTTAAGGTGTCTACTCAGTCCTAACCGAACTTAAGGGAGTGGCCGTAGGTCCCCTGAGCATCCGTAGATTATTTGACCGGTCCACTGGTTTAATCCTGCTTCCTGCCCACATTGTGTTTGGTTTGATCCAGAAAGCATTCACGGTCGACTGAAGATGTAGACACAGCTGGAGAGTCTGCACCAAGAAATTTAGAATGCAGCAAAAAAAAAAAAAAAAAAAAAAAAAATCAATGATTGAATTGTTAATGTCTTTTATATAGCAGAAAAGAACAGTATAGAAAAAAAAACGGGTTACAGAAAAGAAAAGCAATTGACGTAAAAACGCATACACTGGATTCTGGACAGAGAGAGAGAGAGTGTGTGTGTTATGATTAACTTGTTAAATCATCTCAGAACAATATACGACTCTTGCGATGGAGGAATAAGATTTCTGTGTGCGGCTTAAATGTTTATAGTGGCATTCCTCCTTAGTAGTAGTAATATTCATGGTAGCAGAAGCAGTGGTACTTATACCAACAGTACATGTTAGTGGACGCCTCGTTCCAATCTCTGACGTCACTTTCTCTCCTTCTTGAGTCCCCAACTTGACTCTCTACTGTCTCTAGCCCAACTCTTGCCCGGGATAATTCTCTTCTGTCTCCTCATTTTCAGCATAACTACACGTTTATATAGAAAAATCCGGCTGGTCATAACCGACCCTTGGCCCTACTACTTCACATGTGATTATCACGGGGTTATGGCTGTTTCAACCAAAATCATGTGAATTCTAAATGTCCTCCTTGCTTACTCAGCTCTTATTCCAAGTTTTAATCAATAAAAATTATTTCGTCCATTTCCATTGTCTTCTGATGACCCAAATTCAATGGGTACAACTTCTGTCCTAGATCAGGTTTTCACTAAATAAAAATGCTCTGATCTATTTTCACTGTTCAAAAAAAAAAAAAAAAAAAAAAAAAAAAAAAAAAAAATATATATATATATATATATATATATATATATATATATATGTGTGTGTGTGTGTGTTTCCCAGACTCTCTCTGTCACAGATGTAGACCCAACACACACACAAGTGCATATATACATGTCTGTAGACTCATAATGAAAAAATTATTTAGGACAATAAATGTTTTCTCCATAATATTCTTTAGCAGTCAGTTATGTGCCATGCATGATACACGCTTAGGCAATCATGTATCTTTTGATACATGACTGACAAGGCAGATTTTTTTCCCCACAGTAGGTTGCCATTTCTTTTTGCAGTAGACCAGTTGCCATCCAAGGCTATAGAACCCGGTCTGTCATGCTATTTACCCATAGCTGGGGGGAGAATTAGAGGATTCATACCTTTCCCAAGGGTATTAGAATGCAAGTGAATTTAAAGGATTTGACTGGAATTTGAACTTAGCTTTCCATTACCACCATGCCTCCATTCTTTAGCAACATACTTAATTCATTGCTATATATTAAGATCACATATGATGGGGGAATTAAAAAGTCCTAAGCCTGACCAGAAAGGCCTTTAAAAAAAAATTTGTATGACCAGATTTTAGAAGTTGCCTAAAAAATTGTTACATAGAAAATTCAGGATAAAAATTCACCTAAGCATGTCGAGTTATTTTGTGTGTGTGAGAGAGAGAGAGAGAGAGAGAGAGAATGCATGCAAGGCAAATTATATTGTAAAAATACATTTTTGATTTTTGTTTACACAACTGATAGCCACTGTTTCACAATGCATAAATTTTCAATGTCTTAATTTCTTGATCTACAAATACCTACAAAAATTTCAGTTTTCCTATTTGAATTTTCTTATCGATTCGATTTCTATGGCTTATCAACCCTTTGCAGATTATTTAAAGCTGGAAAATACAAGATTTTTTGTTTTTCAGAGATAATGATTTAGTGATATAAGTTTCACTAATTAACATGGGGGAGCTGCTGGGAGAACAATTCCAAGCCATTATTCATTACACCACCCATACATCCAAACTTACAGCAACTTGGTATTCCCAGGCAGCCACACATCTAGGTACTGACCAGGCTCAATGCTGCTTAACTTTGGTGATTGTGTAAGGAACCAGTGTTTCAATGTGACGTGGCTGCTGTAAACTGAATTTTTGGATGAATCTTAATTCTTAAGTTAATGACTGAATAAGCTCACAGCAAGTTCTATGACGATAAAATATCCATAGAAATTCCCCTATCACTTTGTGAAATACTTGAGCTTAACAACTTTAAAAAAAAAATATTGCAATAATAATCATAAATATGAGAATATGAGTGCTGTTTGTAATTATTTTAAGTAAGGGGGTACAAATGAAAAGATTTGAAAGTGACAACTTTTCCATTTCCCTGAACCGATGTTAAACACATGAGTATTATCACTTTTTCTATGTTTCCTATTTTCTTTCATTTTTTTCACTTAAACCAAGAATCATCTTTGAAATGTCTTTTCTGCCTTTCCACGGATCAAAATGGAATAGGCCATTATTTATGAGGTATTTGTACATGCTAACTAAGGGACATGCAAAATTATGATTGAATCACTTGTTTTTGACAGCTTATCAACCTTTTGTAGGTTATGTAAATCTAAAACATTTTGGATTGTAAGAAATTTTTTTTTTTGGCAAATCATTTTTTTTCTTTTATAAGTACTACTATTTAACCAAGAATTGTGAGAGTAGATGGATTCATACCTTTCCCAATAGTATTTGCATGTAATTGAATTCAAACTTGGCTTACCAATTCCTATTTCCAAGACACTATTCATTACATCAACAACACATACAAATTTCTTTCAATTAGATCAATATTTTGCTGATGGCAGGGTTTCCATGACAACTGGCCAAACTCAAAATAATGATTTTTAGTAAGAAAAAATAAGTTAATTGTTATGCCTAAGAATTATTATTTTCTTAGATCTATCATACTGTTGATTTTTTTGGCTTGAATTCAAACTGATCTTTGTCAGGCAAACTAAACTCCTTTTCCACCACAATACTGTATGCTCTAAAATCTTTCCAAACACAAGATTTCAGCAACATTTTTCTATGCCATCTTCACAATTCAATCAGAAAAGCAGATGCAACAAAGAGTCGTCATGAGATGACTTTGTACTTACCAATTGAAAGGAGGTATGTGAATGCTTTGCGGCTTTCATCAGAGTCTTTATTAGGTTTTGTTGAATCCATCACACATTCACGTCGGTAAGCACTAAAATCTGGAATCTGAATATCTGTGTGGGCAAAACGGACCTGAGATTGACCTGAAATTAAAAAAAAAAAGAAAATAAATAATAAGACTCACCTAAATGCTGACCTTTACACATGGAGCAAGATTTGGTAGGGAAAGAAAGACAATCCACTTGCAGGAACTTGAATTTTTCAACAAAAACATCTATATAATTTTCTGGGGCTACTAAATATTATTACTAATATATATATATATATATATATATATATATATATATATATATATATATATATATATACACACACACGTCATTCCATGTTAACTCAACAAGGGTCTGACCATGACGGTAACAGATTTTTTTTTCAAATCTTGTACACTTATAAAGATTCATGATAGAAATTGAATGGTACCTATTTTACATCTCTAGGTGAAAGGATGTGTTTTTTTTTTTTTTTTTTTTTTTACAAGTCCTACTATTTAACCCAGAGTTAAATATATATATATATATATAAAAATACTGAAAATTTGACTGTTTTATGCATTTAGTGTACTGTAGCAAATGTCAACAAAAAATTTATTAACCATTAACATCATTTGCTGTATATTTTCATATTATTTCATGTTATCTTAACATTAATTCATGACACATTTTTAAATATTTTTATTATGTCACTTTTTCATATAAAAATCTATTTGTTGTATAATAAAAATGTAAACAAAACCAAAAGTAAGGTAATTTATTTACCCCCAGATTGGTCAACATTTGACCAAAAGTAACACAAATTCTATTCCTTTTATTCTTATGTGAACATTAATCAGCATTCAAAGAGCTTTCTAAAGATATATAACATGACCATAGTGGGAGATATGAAAATGTTAGCATATAGTGGCAAATGCCAAAATCTGCCATTTTGAATGTCTCAACTCGGTAAAACCCTTGTAACTCGGGCCACAGTTAAAAGTCCACCACTAAATTTTGTATGTATCTTGCCATAAAACAAACAAATTTGTTATCAAATTTAAAAAAAAAAAAAAGTTTTTGAGAAATTTTCTTATTTGACCTTTAAACAAAAATGATCAATTTCATCACAATTTTTCTGTTAAGCTTGGAGAGTAATACATTCTTATTGCTCAAAGTAGATTCCAATAATGTTATAAAAACCTCAGAGAATTCCAGTAAGATATCTTTAATTGTTTTTAAGATACAATGGTTCAAAGCTTAATTTAACAATTGGAAAATTTTGCTGTTACACCATATATATATATATATATATATATATGGAGGGAGAGGAGTTGAAAATCAAATGTAGATCAGATATGGATCGGAATCTGACCAGATGATAAAGGAACAGCATGCACAAAATGTATTTCAATCTAACATGTTTCACCTATATTAAAGGCTTCATCAGAAATCGAGAATAGAACTGAAAAATGCAAAGAGACAGACTACTGGTATGTTATGATTTTTGGTTAGTTCTCATGAGTCAGACATGCACCATGTATTAACGCAATAGCTGATATATAAATATGTGTGAGGAATATTTGGGATGTTAAAGTATTTGATAGTGTAAGAGTGTGCGAGTAAAGAAATACTTATGCGTCTAGGTTTGGATGGTAACGTTAATACATGTAATTGTGTGTATGAGGAATGTCTACAGATATCACCCTTGCATTGTTGGTGAAATATAGCAAAATGTTGCAATAATTTTGTGTTTGGTCAGATTTTTATATTCTCATGTATGTGTGTGTGCAGAAAGTCTGTGGTTGTCATAGTTTTGGTTAGATTTATCATTAAAGCATTTCTCATGCGTATCCTAGAAAAGGATTTGTACATTTTCATTATTTTATGTATTAGATAGACATAAGTTAGATTCATGAATAATGGCTCTGTAGAAAGATGGTGATGTGTTGTAATGTAATGTTTTAAGCGAATATTTATAGTCGGTAGTAATGCTATAAATATATTTTCAAAATATTTTCTCCTTAATGAGTGATGTTCTTTTATGATTAGGCTGGCATTAGTGAAATCAAAGTTATGTCCCATGTTTTGATATAAGACAAGAGAGAATTTCTAAATGCAAGTCTCTTGTGTTCATAGATCTGGGTTTTTAGATCATATGATGCCACACCCATGTAAATAAGTTTTTTGCACTATCTGATAATTTCTGACATTTGAAATTTGAATTTTTCTGGTGTTTGATTTATTTTCTTCCTGATTATATAAGAAGTTTGAATGTTTTCTCAATATATTTCTCTTCTTCATTTAAGTGTACAGAGTTACATATTCTAAAGGCTCTAAGGTAAAAACCTATGATTAGTCCAGATTTTATTCTCTGGTTATGGTGGGAATAGAAATTGATTAGGTCGTTTTTGTTTGTGGGTTTTCAGTAAACGTTAAAATCTAATTTATCTTTGTTGCATATTAATAAGATGTCAAGGAAAGGTAGGGAGTTGTTTGTTTCCAAGTTTGTGTGTGAATTTGATGTTGGGTTATTGAGTTTTGTTATATCTAATAGGTTTGTATCTTGGGGATAAAATAAGAGGATGTCATCTATGTATCTCAGGTAAATAGAGCTGTTAGGTATGACAGGTTTAAATGGGGTGGATTCTAAGAATTTGAGAATACCACTGATCGGTAACCCCATGGGTAAACCAAATTTTTGTTTGTAGAAAATGTTATTGAAAGAAAGAGAAAGGGGTTAGTAATTAATTAGCATATCTTTATAATTTCACTGACAATATGAGGATGTTTCATCTTTAGACATTCCTCTTACACACACACAGACATATATGGCGAGAAAGTAATGGATGCAGATGAAAGAAAAACATCTCCATCCGTGGCTAGGTCTAAGGAGACAATGAGCAAAAGAATGAATGAAAGCTAAAAAGGAATGGGAAAGTGTAAAATTAAAGGTAGAGCAAAAGAAAAAATTATTTGCACATTCCTTATTTAGATTCCATTTTAACATACCAAACTGATTCATGTTTTTATAATATTTAGGCAAAGAAAAAAATGAACAGGCAATGCTGATTGGAAGAAATAAGGAAAGAAGAATATACATGGCTGGATCATCTTGGTTGTCAACAGCCATGGAATTTCCATGGATCCAGATAGTTGGTAATTAACATCAACATTTATTTTAACCTCTTATTTAGTCAAAGAAAATCTGAGCATTGTTCATTTTACCACTATAAATAATTTTTAATACCAAATAGCTTTCCAGTTTCCTTCCATTTCTTTTCTTGCCTCATATTACGAGCCTTCCTCTGGATTAGAAAAGTCATGCCTCAGAAATAACATGAATTAAAAAAATGAAAACTGGTGTCCAAAATACAAAACAAAACAATTTATTTCAAATCTTTTGGAACCAATTAACTACTGATTGATGGGATGTATAACAAAATGGCAGCAATTTAAGTGGTATCTGTCTACATCTCTGAGATGAGGTATTTTAGGTACCTCCACGAGATCACAAAAAAAAAAAAAAAAAAAAAAAAAAAAAAAAAAGAGCATAACATGATGAAAAAGACGCCAAACTTGATTAAAACAATATTTTATCGTCTAAATGTTTGTTGTTATTATTAAGAGGAAAGATCAAAGTATTTTGGGGGTATTTTTTTTACATTTTTTAATTGTTCCTAGCATGTCCAAAATTTTCATTAAAAATCTTGTTTTTTTTTTTTGAGTCAACAAAATTGACAGATGGCAACCATTTTTTATAAATTTTATAAAAAAAAAAAAAAAAAATGAAAATCTCACTTTGAAATTCTTTTAGATATCAATTATTTTTTCAAAACTTATTTTAAGAAAATCAGAAATTATAATGTTTATTTAAAATATTTTGAACCAAGCTTAGCTTAGCTTCTGTGCTGAAAAGATGTAATTTGAAAATAAAACAAAGCAGGTCATAAACTTTCGCGTCACTTGACAGGTGATGACATATTGACAGATTCCATGAGGAGAATTTGTTCTACGGAAGAAGAAAAGTTAAATTATGTACATTTAAGTGAACAAATTATTTACCTCGTTATTTTTTGAGGAAAACTTTCAGCACTAATTTTTTTTTTTTTTTTAGTTTGCTTTCACCTTTACGTTTACGATGCTTTATGGAAAGTATATTATAAAGAAATTAAAATAAGACTGTTAAGAGCGACATTAAATTTCATAAGAAAGGTATCTAATTAATTTATAGGTACCTTTCTTATGAAATTTTATCAGAAGTGTACATAAAATACTATAATTTTATGTACATTTATTACATTTTACTGTTATTTGTATTTCCATTCATTTTATTATTAATTTTGATATTTCATTTATGAAAAAATGCCATAACTGAGATTAATATAAAAAATAAGATCATATAAATTTCATAAGATGATACTGATACTTGTAGGTAGCCTTCTCAGTTGAAATTGAAAAAACAAATTAACTTCTCCACACGTGTTTCACAAAAGTTGTTTGTTTGTTTAATGGCCTATCTACCTCAAAGGGTCATATAAGGCCAGCACCGTATTCTTTGAATCAGTTTTTGTGATCATTTTAGGCCAGGGAAGTATAATTAGGAATGTTTTATCTGGGTAGCATTCAGTTGGAAGTTTTTTTCTTTTGATAAGTTGAGAGTTGTGTTATTTTGCTTAGTTGATATATAAGTGACATGATTTTTTTTTCCTTTTTTAAACTTTCTGGTAGAGGCCGATTTTCTTGAAGTACGAAAAAATGATTTGGGAGCTGTTTTTTTTTTTCAAATAAATCTTTAATGTTTTTTCCTCTGTAGAGATTATTTCTTGTTGCTAGGAAATCAATGCAGTCCGTTAGAACGTGTTTAATTTATTTCCATATCTTCCAATTCTTTGGGTTGGGTTGTTGATTTGTTAGATTTTATGTTTGACTTATCTCTATTACTAGAGGTTGATCAGGACCGTGGTTTGGTTTTTAAGGGGTTGATTTTTGTTGGAGAATTTTTCCCATTTGTTGTTTTTATTTGTTTAGAGGATGTTTTTTGGTATCTTTGTTTTTGTATTTGTTGTTATTACTTGATTTTATATTTAGGCTTTTGTGGGGGATTGAAGAACTCGCTTTATTGTGGGAGCTTTGTTCTTCAAAGTCTTCTGTTTTTAATATGTTATAGCTGTTGTGGAGGGGAATTTGTTGGTTTATTTGTATACTTTGATTGATTTGGTCTGGTTCTGATTTGCTTAGGGATTTGTTTCTGGTTTTAGTCGCTTATCTGGGTTTTAGTAGATGCTGTTATTTGATTTTTGTTAGTTTCTTTTTGAGTTGTTTTTAATGTTTCGATGAGATTTTTAAGTTCAAAGACTAGTTTGTTGAGTAGGTCTTGATTGTTAGCTTGGTTTGGTTTTTGAATGATTTCTGCATAAATGTTTGTTTTTTGATAGGTATCTATTTTCCTCGCTTCTGGGAAGGATACATTTTTCCTGTATCTCACTTCCGCGACTTCTTTTCCCTTTTTAAAAATTTTATATGTTCTAGAGTAAGCTGGATGATTTTTATAGCAATTCAGACACTTTGTTTCATTTGGGCATTCATCTTCAGTATAATTGGGTTCCTTTACACCACATTTTCCACATATTCTGTACCCTCTACAAGTTTCCCTGTGGTGCCCAAATTTATATGGGTGTATGTAATGGTCAACTTTTTGGATTAAATGTTAGGATATAAGTATTTGTGGGCATGATTTGACCATTCTTTTTTATGTTGATCTGGACGTGATCTATTACTCCTTGTTTTCTCAGAGCAATTTTAATTTCTTCAATTGTGGCTAAGGTTAGCTCATGTCTTCTTATGATGCCTTTTGATGTGTTTAGTTTTTCATGAAAAAAGACCTTACATTGGTAGGTGTGGAATTTTTTCATTCCTAAGAGATTTTGAGCATCTCTGTAATTATCTATTTCGACTAGAAGATTTCCGTTTTTCATTTTTTTGACTGTTTTAGGGTTACTGTTTTGGGACAGAATTTTTTCGATTAGAAATGGAGATAGTTCACTGATCTTTTTTCCTTTTTTTCCTTCTAAGGCTTCAATAACTATGAATCTTGGGGAGTTTTTTTCCTTTCTATATATTCAGAAAAATCGTTTTCCTCTGATTTGGATTCCCACTCAACATCCGAGTTAGAAACATCAGAATGTGTTCTTTTGGTTTTTCCATTGTTCTTTATCTGGTTTCTGGGTTTTTTATTGGTGTATTCAGTTTCCATATAAATATGTTTGATTTTTTTCATCTTTCTTGCTCCCCACCCTCCTTGGAGCCCAAATATGGGAGATGTTGGGGGGGGGGGACCCATTCGGCCTTTCATCTCAAGGATACAAAAAACGTATACTCATTTAGTTTCCACCGTCATTTTCTGATTTTTCCTTCAGTTTTGTCTTCTCATTTTTATAGAAACATCGGGTAAGGAACAGTCACGTGGTTTTGTCTCAATAATTGATTGACCCTTGCCACCACCTTCCAACACTTACTTGGTTCGCCTGTGTTTATGGTAAGAGTAAAAAAGATGTAGTATCTTTGGATCTTATTCTTGGATGATGTGGTCAACATTTGCAAGTGTAAGTGTTAGGGCTTGACATGACTAGCCGATTGATCGGATCAGGCCTTTCCAACTGCCCATCTAGCCCAGGTAAGGGCCAAAGTGGTGTGTTGCAGGATCGCGACCTCTTTATGCCTAGATCATGGTCTGCTCAACCACCAGAATCCCATCCCCAGGCATCATGGGTCGCCACCCACGTCTAACAGGTGGCCCCATTGAGGGACTTTTACCCTATTCTGATGCCCCACCAACAAAGTAAAGGCCTTAACAGCGGAGAACAATGCTTAACTCAAATAAAGCAATTTAATTGTATTCTGGTTGGTCTTCTGTACTTTATAATTACAGCCCAATTATAAACAAAATTACATTTCTTAATTACTGCGAATCTTCTGATTAGTCAAAATGATACAATTTACAACGCACTAAAAAAAAGATCTAGTTCATAAGGACACTTAGTAAACCCGATGGAGCTTTTAACTAATTTTATAATATTTTAACAACTTAAATGTGAAAATCTATTATAATTAAAGAAATAACAAATAATTGTATTAAAAATTCATTTCTCATTAAAATTTTTTTTGCTTTTAGAAAATATTGTCCATATTCATAAAAGCATTAAAAATTAAATAATATTTTTGTTTTATTGAGTTTTGTATGTTACAATTCAGGGCTGATTTTCAGGTGGTGGTGGTGGGGGGTATGGCTAATAAAAAAAAAAAAAAAAAAAAAAAAAAAAAAACAGGATTTGCATTCCTCAAAACCTTGTGCTTTTAACTATTGTAATCACTAAACCTGACGCGATCAAATTTCTAGCGTTTTCATAAAATTAGTTGGGGGAAGGGGAATAAATATTAAAACAAATATTTCTGCCATGACTTTAATAAAAAAAAAAAAACAAAAAAAAAAAACACATTTATAATCATTTCGATCATTTGTGAATAGTTTCTGAAAGTTTCATTAACATCCGACTATTATTTTTATTTTGCAAGATTTTCCAAATTAATGCGTGTCATACAAAAAAAAAAACATGCTAAAAATTGTATGTTATTTTACTAGTTCTGGTGATACAAAGAGAAACAAGGTTTTTTTTTAATCAAAATTTAGACAATAAAATTTTGTTTTCGTCAAGTTTGCCACCTTTTTCGTCATGCTATGCTCTTTTTTTTAGCGATCCCATGGAGATACCTAGGTATTATGAATAAAGTGGTTTAACACTTCGCAGACACCTCTTCCAAATAAGACCACCCCACCCCAGTAGAGGAGAACATGACTAAGGACTTTGTGTACACCATCCCGTGCAGCTGTGGTAAGAAATACAAAGGAGGATCAAGCTGCCTTCCTTAAGGTAAGACTGCAAGAACATTGTAAAGTGGTAACACAAGGGGAAATAGAAAAATCTGGCGTAGCTGACCACATATGGAAGGGAGATCATCGCCCCATGTGAGATAAGGTTGAAATAATAGACAGAATGCATCACTGGAAAATATGAAAATTTAAGGAATCAACACATACCAGGCCACAGCAGTGGTGAACCAAAACGTAGAGACTTGAGATAAAGGGAAATAACTGAGACATCCAGAAGAAGCATGGCACGTGGAACTAGAACAATCTACCCCGGTGGACGAAATAAAGGGTTCGATTCGAAATTCCAATCACCTGAGCGTACAACGGCCGAAACGTTGTGAATATGGCAATGAAGATGTGGATAACAGCCCGAATAATGTAAATAATACAAGTAAATTAAGTGCAAAAGGTAAAAAAAAAATTAATAATCCCCAAGAACATTTTGTTTTGTGAATCAATTGTCGTAGACACCGAAAGCTCAGAATCTCTGTGGAAACGCGGCAAAACCAAAGCGATACGAGCCAATAATTATTCCCATCATGAAGAAAAGAAAATGAACGCATAGTCGTAGCCAGACAGTTTTAGCTGTTAGCGAGTGAGTTCGATTCTCACAGGGTGTCACATATGACCATGTGCCAGGACTAAGCCAAGAACTACATGAATAAATAAATAAATACATGTGGATTGTGGAGGGAAATTTACGCTATTTTAAAATTTGCTGCTGGGGAGGGGGAAGGTAATGCATGTCGACTAACATATGTCAACCACTTCTGACTAATATTTACTTTCATCTTAATTTTTAAAGGCACTGTGTAGATTTTACACAATCTGGGTGAAGTTGAAATAAAACTAAAAAAAAAAGCAACCAAAAGTTAAATAAATACTAATTACTACTTAACTTTAAAATTAAAAGTAATAATGGTTGTCAATATAACAAAAAACAACAATCTGCAGGTTGGTTTAAAAAGAGAAAAGCTAAAAAACTAAAGCATGAGAAATTGACTGATAATGGATGGGGCGTTTTTAGATTTAAAATAAAGGCAACTAAAATTGTGTACGTTTTCAAATATAAGAAAAATAAAATACTTATTTTCAATATAAAATGAACACTGAAAAGTAATATATCAAATGTTAAATAGCTCTGGAAAATGTACAAAAACCAACTCTTGACAAAAATAGTTGCTTTAAAAATGACCTTAAATGAATGTCATAACAGTAACACACTTGAACTGAAGTATTTTGGTTTTAAGTAGCAAGAAGAGAAATTTGCTTTATTGAATAAAATTGTTTATTTTTTGAAAAAAAAAAAAAAAAAAAGCTTTTATTTTTAATTTTTTGTTAGTTAATGAGTTTTTTTTTCTTTTGTGCAGACTGAATACATTGAGAAAAAAGTTTAAAAAGGTAGCGTGTTATTAATAAACAATCTCTGAATATTAGAGATATGCCTGTAAACTTTAGAGTCTCTAAAGATAACAAAAAAGACCAAACAAAACAAAAGGAATCATTTTTTTTCCCCAATTTAGTTGTGATTAAAAGTATTTTGATTTTTGTTTTATTTTATTTATATTATTATTGAGAAATCTTTTTTTTTAAATGACTGAATAAAAAAATCATTCTTTTTAACTGAAAAAAGAATGCTTTTATGCTCTTGAAGAATATAATAATAATAACTAAAACATTAGAATTAAATAAAATTTGAAACTTTTGAAGTAATCAGCGATACTTTTTTAAATCAATAATAGAAAAAAAAGAAACGAAATTTAAAAAGTTAATGAAAAAAAAATAGTCGATTTCTCTAAGTCATTTGAGGTTACAGTCGAGCCGAGATAGGATTCTAATTCAAAGCGACCATAAAGAAATAAACAAACATAAAACATTTATTTCCGAGGGGAAGAAACATTGCTTAAAAGTTAAATACATTTAAAAATACATATGTATTTCTTACTTGTGAGTCCATAAGAAGCCGTGACTCCGTTATTTGGGATTTGTCTACAGAGGTTACTGGGCGATGTATCCTTGATCGGTGGATGAATGGCAATTGCCGAGGATAAAACAGGCAAATCAGAGATTATCGGCCTGGAAACATGAGAAACGACTTGTTTTGTAAAAGTCCCACTTAGTTTGGGAAGCAAATTGATCATCTTGCCGACTTTCTTTCTATGACCTCCACGAAATGTTCTTCGAGGTGCGGAAGTGAGAAAAGATTAACCGGTAGTGACGTCATATGCCTTTTCTTTTTTTCTTTTTTTTTTTTTTTACACCTGTTCGGAAACGTCACATTCCACTATTTAGAGAATAACAGAATAACGAAATAGAATATATAATCATTCTGCCCATTCTATTAAACGACACGATTTAATATTAAAGGGAGACAATCTTTTATTATTATTAAAGAAAAAGAAAAGCAAAAATTAATTTATTTTTTCTTTATTTTTTATTTCTGAATTATTTGGGGCTAGTTTATCTTTCATCTCATTTTTGTTTACCGTTAAAGAAGCAATATTGATAAGAAAATTAAAAAAAAAAAACAAACACAGATATCAATGATGATGTACAGTAAAATACTTGACATTTGTAAAAATATAATTCTTTATGTCAGGGATCGATTTTTGTCTCAATATTATGAACAGAACCCCACTTCTAAAATGATTAAAAAAAAATGTCCAAACTTACTATTTTCCACTTTAGACTTTCTGTCTATATTTCTGAGATGAGGTATTTGTCATACCTGACGTACCTATTCTATTATTAATAGACTCTCCCACACATAATAAGTAGTAGTAGTAGTAGCAGTGGGGCTCAGTGGTGTTGAGCGAGTCAGTCAATATCGGACATTGAAGTACCAATCATCACAACTAGATTGCTGCGTCATTAACTCTTATTTCAAGTTCCTAACGTTTTGTACGTTGAACCTAATTTACAACGACTTATTGAAATACAAGCCTCCACTGTGAAAACTACTCTACAACAGTATTGTAATTATTTACACTATTGTTCGGACTGTTACCCTCATCTTTGTTGCCATATTCACATTTCAACCTTGTACACGTGATTAGAATTTCAAATTGAACCCTTTATTTCATCCACCAGGGTAGATTGTTCTAGTTCCATGTGCCATGCCTCTTCCAGATAACTCAGTTATCTCTCTTTAACTGAATTCTCCAAGGTTTTGTTCACCACTGCAGCAGCCTACTCTCTGGGTCAAGTCACTGGATCCAACAAATATTTTTTTATCCACGGGGTCATGTGTCCTTGAGAACATCAGTGTATGAATTTTTGAGACTTATAAACTTAATGTCTCAGAAAACATTTCATATTGCAATTTTTGTTGTTATTATTGCTTTTCTCTAGCACTCCATATTACTGGTTCACATATTGTATTCATATCTATGCTTGGCTGGTTTAGGAGATTTTTTGTAGCTTTTGTATGCTGATTAATTAAGTTTTCATATTTTCCAGAGATGATCTCCCCTTTTCCTCCAGATGTTGTCAGCTACACCTGATTTTTCTATTTCCTCTTGTGAAACTAGAACAATCTGCCCTGGTGGACGAAAAAAGGGTTCTCCTGAAGAAGGCCGGAGTATACAATGACCAAAACATCATAAATATGACTACGAAAATGAGGACAACAATGAACAATGTAAATAGTGTAAATATTTTTCACTTGTTTATAATTTGGTACAGTTTTCAGAAAATCTAATATAGCAGATTATTTTAAGTTTTTTAGAATTCAATAAATTTTGGCTTCATTCAACTAATTAGTGAAATAGCACATGACAACAATGCATAAACATTTTATAACTTACAACTGAATATTGACAAGGTACATATAAATTCTTTCTATACAAACATGAATTTAAAAAAAAAGAGAAAAATCTTAGACTAAAATATTACTTATATGTGGCAATTTTTAAAATTTGAATTAATAATAAATAATACAGATGAAATATTTATTAAAATATGCTTTTAAAAATTATGTAAATTAAATATTACTGTTTATGCTGTAAATGAAATTTGGTAGTAATATATAGAAACAGCTGAAAGTAAATCCTTATGGGCTGTTTTATTCTATTGATCCAATGTGGGGAGACATATAAAAGATTGTTTTCACAGTGTATGAAATAGGTTGTGAAAGGATTTAATGATTAAAGACAGTTGGTACATATTAAAAGGTTGATGGCTGAGTTGGCAATTAAGAGAAGAGGAGAACATAGGAAATACATTTTTTTTTTCTTTTTTTGTAATAGCTTTCTCCAGATTTCAATTAATAGATGCAATCTTAGTAAAATATCTAAATCCTGTGTATTAACTTGTTAAAAAACAAAATAGGAAAACATTTGGGGAGAGAGGGGAAATAGTTTTTGTAGATAACATTCATTTCAATGACCTTCCTCAAGGTGCAACATTTGTCAAAATTGGAAGCAGTATTAATAGGAAAATTAAAAATATACTAGTTTAATAGTAATAAAAAAAACTGTTGAAATAAGAAATAAAAATAATAAAATGATTGAAAAACTTGTCCAAAAAAATGAATAAATGCCAGTTTCAAACTTAAACTAAGTGTTGGCTCAATAGCCATTGTGATTGCTTTGATTTACCTTTCTAAAGAATTTAAGCAACTGTTATAATCATTTTAAGATTTAATTTTAAAATATTCAAAGTTTGAAAACTACATTGAAAATTGAAAATACTGACTTCACCATATCTGGAGATGGCCAGCAGTCATTTCACTTGTCTGCACTTGGATTTATCAGAAAATTCTTTTATGTTAGAAATTTTAAAATATTCAAAGTTTGAAAACTACATTGAAAATTGAAAATACTGACTTCACCATATCTGGAGATGGCCAGCAGTCATTTCACTTGTCTGCACTTGGATTTATCAGAAAAATCTTTTATGTTAGAAATTTTTATTAACCTTCTGAACCCTGCATTCCTGAACAATTTCAATCCTTCTGCTTGAGCTCCTGAATCAAAATTTGCATATAATTGGTATGTAATGTTTCACTGTAGATATAAAAATAGTTACCACTGTTCAACCGGTGGCTGGGCATTAAGTCATTTTTCTCTACTACTGTTCAACCGGTGACTGGGCACTGTCATTTTTCTCTATCACCGGTAAAGTGGTGGTCATGGCTCAAGGGGTTAAACTAAACCAATTTGCAAATTATATTTCAAAGGGTTAAAAAATATATAGAAATAAGTTTTAAATAATATTCTTTAAAAAAAATAACCAATTTAAATGTCTTCAAGCTCATCAAAGTCTAAGTCAACAGATCCTGAAATGAAAAGCTCAAATAAAAAAAACGATCAACTACTGATTTTTTTTATTAATTTATTTCTTTTCACACTTAATTTGCCAAGTCAAATATACTTCTTAGTGGGTCGAGTTGCGTCCCCTTTATTAACAAATGGACTTAATTTATAATTCGAAGGATTGGCAGGATGGTGTCTCGATTAAGGGACGAACCTTGCAAAACTGAGTGGCTCTTGCAGCGTGTCTTACTGGCAATGTGTGAGTTAATGCTTTTTCCATCATTGAGGCTGGCAGAGGATACCAAAAAAAAAACATTTTGTTTGTAGATACTTTGTTCAAACTTTGTTGAAAATATTTTTCTTTTGGAAATGAGTTGCTAGGTCATTTCAGCCTAATTCAGTTGAAAAATAATAGAAATCTACACAATGCATTGGATAATAAATAAATTAGAGAAAAACAATAAAAATCTTGAGATAGCTTGTCAAGTTGGGGACATAATCAGCAGAAATAAAACAATCTACCACCGTAAGGGTCCATTTCAAAATTGCATAAAAATAGGTACCTCCTCAAAATTACTAAAAATCAGCATACCATGATGATTTCATTACATAATTCCAGTAAAATTTTTGGGATATATATATATATATATATATATATATATATATATATATGGTAGTTTGTATCACATCATGGTGTGATATTTATCATTTTAGGATTTCACTATCATTTTGGAACTTACCTACTTTAGATAATGAGGTTTTACTGTATTCAGACCAATTGGACTGTTGTGGTGTCCTCCCTCTAAAGAGTCTATGTTGGACTCTTCCACCTACTATAAGATTAGTAGGAGAGAAGGCCTTGGAGGAACACTAAGATGTTGTAATCAAGTAAATGGTTAAAGAAATAACAAAACAAGTGTTACAGAGATATCACATATTAAACAGTGAGTACAACAGAAGAGTATTACACTACTAGTGAGTGTGTGTCGGTTGACCAACGTTCAATCTATTCAACTGTTCCCCCAAGGCCTTCTCTCCTACTAATCTTATAGTAGGCGGAAGAGTCCAACAGAGACTCTTTAGAGGGCAGACACCACAACATGGACATATGATCAAGTGATAACGCTATTAATCCAAAATCAAAAATGACAATAATTAAATCTGTATTTAAAAAAGAAAAAGTTCCCAAGAAAGTTTTTTAAAAAATCTTAAAAACTCAGTAATGGTCCCTGACACTAGTTTTTCTAATTATTGTCTTCAAAAAGGTACAAGTTACTTACTAAAAATTTGGCAATTTTTAACTTTGTTTTACAAAAAACAGTGTGTCAAAAGGATGGTTATTCCTTTGACACTGCTATTATTACCTACACATTTGACTCCCTCGGCAACATTTATTTATAAGATTATAAACATGTGGGAACCAAAGACAGTGCGATATTTGTGAGTTATAACTCTGAGTAAATAATCATAAACCCATTAAATTTATATATCCAAATATACTCATAAAAAAGAGAAACAGCAAGTTGTGGAAAACAAGTATTATTTATTATCTGGGTGCTATGTGGTGTCAGAGAAATGAGAAACAGTAATATTGAGTAAAACTGTTATGATAATAAATTTTCATTTTAAAAAGTGTGTAGTGGAGTTGACATTTATTTATACCAGACTCCAAATAAATTAACTTCTGCTAACAAACATATAACCTTATCAAAATTGAAGTAAAGCAAATGGCTGAAATTAAATTCAAACAATCAAGAAGAATATGCATGAATAAAAAGAAAGAGAAAACAAAAGTTGTAGTTTCAAATAAAGTAATAATAATTATTTTAAGAAATAATACAAAGTTTTAAGTTTGTCTTTGAAGATGGTGTGAAATTAGAGTAGAA